TAGGTGCCTACATCAAGAAATTGGAAAGACACCAAATAGATGAGCTTCAATTCACCTCAAGGATCTAGAAAACCTACAGCAAATCAGACCCAAATCTAGTAGGAGAAGAGAAATCATTAAAATCAGAGAAGAAATCAACAGGATTGAATCAAGAAAAACATTACAAAAAATCAGCCAAACGAAGAGCTGGTTTTTTGAAAAAATAAACAAAATTGACACCCCATTGGCCCAACTAACTAAAAAAAGAAGAGAAAAGACCCAAATCAATAAAATCAGAGATGAAAAAGGAAATGTAACAACAGACACCACAGAAATAAAAAGAATCATCAGAAATTACTACAAGGACTTGTATGCCAGCAAACAGGGAAACCTATCAGAAATGGATAGATTCCTGGACACATGCAACCTGCCTAAATTGAACCAGGAAGACATCGAAAACCTAAACAGACCCATAACTGAGACAGAAATTGAAACAGTAATAAAGGCCCTCCCAACAAAGAAAAGCCCAGGACCAGATGGATTCACTGCTGAATTCTACCAGACGTTTAAAGAAGAACTAACTCCAATTCTTCTCAAACTATTCAGAACAATCGAAGAAGAGGGAGTCCTCCCAAATTCTTTCTATGAAGCCAGCATCACCTTAATTCCTAAGCCGGAAAAAGATGCAGCACTGAAAGAGAATTACAGACCAATATCCCTGATGAACATAGATGCAAAAATCCTCAATAAAATTCTCGCCAATAGAATGCAACAACACATCAGAAAGATCATCCACCCAGACCAAGTGGGATTCATCCCTGGTATGCAGGGATGGTTTAATGTGCGCAAGACAATCAATGTGATACACCACATTAACAGACTGCAGAAGAAAAACCATATGATTATCTCAATAGATGCCGAGAAAGCATTTGATAAAATACAACACCCGTTCATGATGAAAACTCTAAGCAAACTGGGTTTGGAAGGAACATTCCTCAATACAATCAAAGCAATCTATGAAAAACCCACAGCCAACATCCTATTGAATGGGGAAAAGTTGGAAGCATTTCCACTGAGATCTGGAACCAGACAGGGATGCCCACTCTCACCACTGCTATTCAATATAGTTCTGGAGGTTCTAGCCAGAGCTATTAGGCAAGAAAAAGAAATTAAAGGGATACAAATTGGGAAGGAAGAGCTCAAACTATCCCTCTTTGCAGATGACATGATTCTTTATTTAGAGGACCCAAAGAACTCTACTAAGAGACTATTGGAACTCATAGAAGAGTTTGGCAAAGTAGCAGGGTATAAAATCAATGCACAAAAATCAACAGCCTTTGTATACACAGACAATGCCATGGCTGAGGAAGAACTTCTAAGATCAATCCCATTCACAATAGCTACAAAAACAATCAAATACCTTGGAATAAACTTAACCAAAGACGTTAAAGATCTCTACGATGAAAATTACAAAACCTTAAAGAAAGAAATAGAAGAGGATACCAAGAAATGGAAAAATCTGCCATGCTCATGGATTGGAAGAATCAACATCATCAAAATGTCCATTCTCCCAAAAGCAATTTACAGATTCAATGCAATACCAATCAAGATACCGAAGACCTTCTTCTCAGATCTGGAAAAAATGGTGCTGAAATTTATATGGAGGCACAAGAGACCTCGAATAGCTAAAGCAATCTTGTACAACAAAAACAAAGCCGGAGGCATCACACTACCAGATTTCAGGACATACTACAGGGCAGTTGTAATCAAAACAGCATGGTACTGGTACAGAAACAGATGGATAGACCAATGGAACAGAATTGAAACGCCAGAAATCAACCCAAACATCTACAGCCAACTTATATTTGATCAAGGATCTAAAACTAATTCCTGGAGCAAGGACAGTCTATTCAATAAATGGTGCTGGGAAAATTGGATTTCCACGTGCAGAATCATGAAGCAAGACCCCTACCTTACACCTTACACAAAAATCCACTCCACATGGATTAAAGACCTAAATCTACGACCTGACACCATCAAGTTACTAGAGAACATTGGAGAAACCCTTCAAGATATTGGCACAGGCAAAGAATTTCTGGAAAAGACCCGGGAGGCACAGGCAGTCAAAGCCAAAATCAACTATTGGGATTGCATCAAATTGAGAAGTTTCTGTACTGCAAAAGAAACAGTGAGGAGAGTGAAAAGACAACCGACAGAATGGGAAAAAATATTTGCAAACTATGCAACAGACAAAGGGTTAATAACCAGAATCTACAAAGAGATCAAGAAACTCCACAAAAACAAAACCAACAACCCACTTAAGAGATGGGCCAAGGACCTCAATAGACATTTTTCAAAAGAGGAAATCCAAATGGCCAACAGGCACATGAAAAAATGTTCAAGGTCATTAGCAATCAGGGAAATGCAAATGAAAACCACAATGAGGTTTCACCTCACCCCAGTTAGAATGGCTCACATTCAGAAATCTACCAACAACAGATGCTGGCGAGGATGTGGGGAAAAAGGGACACTAACCCACTGTTGGTGGGAATGCAAACTGGTCAAGCCACTATGGAAGTCAGTCTGGAGATTCCTCAGAAACCTGAAGATAACCCTACCGTTCGACCCAGCCATCCCACTCCTTGGAATTTACCCAAAGGAATTTAAATTGGCAAACAAAAAAGAGGTCTGCACCCTAATGTTTATTGCAGCTCAATTCACAATAGCTAAGACCTGGAACCAACCTAAATGCCCATCAACGATAGACTGGATAAAGAAATTATGGGATATGTACTCTTTAGAATACTATACAGCAGTAAGAAACAACGAAATCCAGTCATTTGCAACAAAATGGAGGAATCTGGAACACATCATGCTGAGTGAAATAAGCCAGTCCCAAAGGGACAAATACCATATGTTCTCCCTGATCGGTGACGACTGACTGAACACCAAGAGGGAAACCTGTTGGAGTGAGGTGGACACTATGGGAAATGGTGGCTTGATCAGCATAGCCCTGACTGTTAATGAACAACTAAATACATTATCCCTCTTAGTAGTTTTTTTTATCTGTTCTACTTAATATGACTGGTTTAGATCTGTAATTGATGCACAGTTATTCTTAAGTGTTGAAAATTAACTGAAATGTGATCCCTGTTGAACATGGTGGTGGGAATGGGAGAGGGAAGAGATGTATAATTTGGGACATGCTCGGGCTGACTTGCCCCAAGTGGTGGAGTTGGAAGCATACCAGGGGATTCCAATTCAATCCCATCGAGGTGGCATGTACCAATGCCATCTCACTGTTCCAGGTGATCAGTTTCAGTTCACAGTTGGTCATGGTGAAGGGACTGGGAGTCAAAGGGAGCACATAGACAAGTCTAGTACCTGCTAACGCTACTGATGGAGTAAATAAAGGGGAGAGTGATCCAACATGGGAAGTGAGAATCTCAGCAGACTCATAGAATGGCAGATGTCCTAAATAGCACTCTGGCCTCAGAATCAGCCCTAAAGGCATTCGGAGCTGGCTGAAAAGCCCATGAGAGTATTTCAGGCATGGAAAGCCAAGACACTCTGGCAAAAGATCTCTGCGAGTGAGATCCCAGTGGAAAGAACAGGCCATCAAAGGAGGAGGTACCTTTCTCTGAAGGGAGGAGAGAACCTCCACTTTGACTATGAGCTTGTCTAAACAAGATAAGAATCGGAGAACTCAGAGGGCTTCCATAGCCTTGGAAACTCATGACTGGAGCATAGGGAGATTACTGATGCCATAGACAGGAGTGTCAATTGGTAAAGTCAACAACAGGAGTCACTGTGCACTTACTCCTCATGTAGGATCTCTGTCCTTAATGTGCTGTACATTGAGATTTAATGCTATAACGAGTACTCAAACAATATATTTCACTTTGTGTTTCTATGGGGGTGCAAACTGTTGAAATCCTTACTTAATGCATACTAAACTGATCCTCTGTAAAAAAAAAAAAAAAAAAAAAAGAATCTTGATGTGAATGGTAGGGGAGAGGGAGTGGGACAGGGGAGGGTTGTGGGTGGGAGGGATGGTATGGGGGGAAAGCCATTGTAATCCATAAGTCGTACTTTGGAAATTTATATGCATTAAATAAAAGTTTGGCAGAGGAAAAAGAGTGGAAAATACAAAAAGGAATGAAATCTGTCTTTCACAACAAAATGGATGTAACTGGAAATCATCATACTTTGTGAAATAAGCCAGTCTCAAAAAAACTAATACTATATATTTTCCATGATCTATGATAACTAATAGAGCACAAAAATGCAATGTACATGAGTGAAATTGACATTTTGAGATTTGGTTGTTGTTTACAGTCCTTTTTGCTACTGTTGAGAAACAGTGTTTTGTTTTGTTTTGTTTTTTTCTTTTTACTTTTTGTTGAATTCTTTACCTACTGGAGGGTTAAGCTTAGAAAATAAACTAAAAGTATGTCATTATTAAAATTAAAATAAATAATGGAAGGAGGAAGAAGGATGAGGGCATGGGTGGGAGGGTAAGGTAGAAAGTATCACTAAGCTCCTAAATCTGTATATATGAAATATCTGAAATTTTTTCATATTACATACATAAAAAATTGAAAAGAAAAAAATCCCAAGTTGTCAAAAGATAAAAAGAAGGAATCCTAAGGACAATAAGAGAAAGATATGAAGTCACATGTAAGGCAAAACCAATTAGATTGACATCAGACTTCTCAGTGGATACTCTACATGCCAGAGGAGAGTGGGATGGTATATTCAAAATCTTAAAAGAAACTTCTAACCAAGAATATTACATCCAGTGAAGCTATACTTTAAAAGTGAAGGAGAAGTATTTTCCAGATAAGCAAAATCAGAGAACTCACCATCATCAGATCAGATTTACAAGAAATTCTGAAAGGTATCCTACATTAAAAGTAAACAACAACTACATCAACAACAAAAACACATGACACCACCAAATTCACTAACAGTGCAGGTAGAATCATCACCCAATCAACAAAATGACAGATCTTAGTTCTTTTTTTTTTAAAGATTTATTTATTTATTTGAAAGTCAGAGTTACAGAGAGAGAGAGAGAGAGAGAGGGGTCTTCCATCCTATGGTTCATTCCCTAATTGGCCGCAACGGCTGGAGCTACGCTGATCTGAAGCCAGGAACTTCTTCCAGTTCTCTCACATGGGTGCAGGAGCCCAAGGACTTGGGCTATCTTCTACTGCTTTCCCAGGCCATAGCAGAGAGCTGGATCAGAAGTGGAGCAGCCGGGTCTCAACTGGCGCCCATATGGGATGCTGGCGCTTCATGCCAGGGAATTAACCCACTGTGCCACAGCACTGGCCCCAGGTCTTAGTTCTTATCTACCAATACTAACCTTGAATGTAAATGGACTAAATTCTCCAACCAAAAGACTAAGGTTTGCTGAATAGAGTTTTATCCTATTCCTCAATATGCAAACTATACTTAGATATGTTAACAGTCATTTTGCTCCATCTGAAACAATCTTTATGAATTGTTCCAATAAAATTTTTGTTGTGTATATTTTAAGGTGTATACCATGCTTTGATATACATATACATAGTAAAATGATCACTACAGCCAAGCAAATTAACTTATCACCTTCCATAGATATCTTTCTGTATGAGTCTGTCTATGTGTATGTGTGTGTTTGATAAGACTAGATTTAGTCATTATATATAACTATGAATTTCTACTCTGGCTTGTTTCTTCCAATTTCCTCCCTTCCATTATCCTCACATGCTGTTCAGTTTCTGTGTATTCCACTTCTCTAGATTCTACATGAAAGTTAGATCATGCAGTATTTTTCTTTCTGTGTCTGACTTATTTCACAGCATAATGTACTCCAGCTCCAGGCTTTATTGTTGTTGTTGTTTAATGAGAAGTGACTTTACAGAGGAGTGAACAAAATTTATGTTGATTTGAAATTTAGTTTTTTTGTATATGGATGACCTGCATGTGTTTGGGGATTTTAGATAGCTTAGTACAGTGTTGGTTTTTGTGAAGGCCAAATAAACATTCATTGAAGTAGTTATTTCAAATCCCAAGGACTGATTATTTGTCTCTTCTCTTGATCTTTTTCACCATATTTCCATATACAACCACAGCCTGCAGTAATATCATCCCTGGATCTCTTGAAAATCTCTTTCATTCATTTCCTCATTGCCTTGCTCGTCTGGGCCTAAGGAAAAAAACTGTATTCTGCTTGAAAGAGGAATAGAAAGAACAACTGGTAAATAGCTAAAGACCTTTTTAGGGATGGTTTGAGATTTAGCAGGAAATAAGCACTGAAATCCAAATATTCACAATGTATTTTAGGAATTGATAAGGCTTGCAGAACAGAGATTATAGTCCCACTGTTGTGATTAGATTGTCCTTGCTAGACCTACTGGTCAGAAAGAGTAACTAGTTATTAAAGAGTATTAACTCACTGGAATTAAAATCCAAAATACTTTTTAGTTTTTCCAATAGTTGCCTCCAATTCTAAAACTGTTGAACACTCACTTCTTGCTATTTTGCCTTATTGGTAATCCTTGAAAAGTAATGTAGAACACCAGCAGCTTTCTGGCTCATTGGCCACTCAACAATGCCTCCTTCATCAGTAAACATATGGGCTTATTAAACCACTACCAGGTAAGCATAATATTGCAAGGCCTCCCCTTGGGTTTGTCTGGTTCTTTGTGATGCTGGTGATCTCTGTTGATGTGTTGCCTGATCTCCATTTAGTTTGCATGTATTTCCTTGGTGGGGTCTTCTCTTGAAGGGAGGTGAGGTTTGAATACTAGATTATGTAGCCTTTGGTAGCCATTCTAGCAATTCTGGATTTTATTTTTAAATATAAAGGGAAGGTTTTCAGGGTTTTAAATGATAAAATGATTTGACTGTTGCTTTAGGGTAACTATCTATTAATCAAAGATGGAACTATATAGGAGCAGTAGCGGAGGCAGAGAGACTAGTTAAGGGGCTTTGCAGAAATGAAGATGGGAGATGCTTGTGGCTAAGATTAGAAAAATGCTGGTGAATTTGGAAAGCAGCTGGAATCAAGATATATTTTGACTTCAAAGCCAATAGTGCTAACTAAAGTTCTGGATATGGAATATGGGAGAAAAATGAGAAATGAAGGGTCAAAGATGAGTTAGATCTCAAATTTTTGAGGAGCCATTAAAACCACTGGAGAAGGTTGGAGAACATCTTGTGTTTATATGGGGACAATGTTGAAAATAGAAAGAATCTGATATAATCAGAAGGAAGTGGCTTTAAAAGAGAATGCACAGTGGAACAATGGAAGGACAGTAGTCTTTCTCTCTGATTTCAGGAGTCAAAGGAGAGATAAGAAGAGGAAATGTCCATTTAACTGGTTTTCAGTAAAAATAGGTGTCAAGATGGGGTAGAAAAAGTGATTATTAGAGGGAAGACTAAGAAATAGAGGGATTTATTCACAATCAAACAATACTGAAGGAATATAGGGACTGCTGCTATAGGATGAGAGTTAGAGGATGAGATTAGAAGAGAAAGTATCAGGAGTGCCCTGATCCTGCCATTCCTAAAACTATCATGAAGAACAGGCTGAAGGCACATGTTAATGATAAGAGATAAGCAATGCTGAGCAAGAAAATCTGGTTTAAAGGCCATTTTATATAACTTACCAATATCAAGGTTCCATCTGGAACGGTAGCATGAGAGTAGGCATATCCTGTGTTAAGGAGAGTGCATGGGTAGGGACCTCTATTTTATACTTGAACTTGGTGTGTCTTTCCTAATTTCTGCATTAATTGTTGAGTAGAGCAATTGTGACATCAGAAGAAAATCATCCAATCATGGCTTCTGCTTTTTTAAAAAAATTTCTTCTCACTTTTATGAACTTTTTTCCCTTTCCTCATTATTTAAAGTTCTTCCTCTGTCTCACCTCTCACCTACCCTACAGGCTTTGATATACTGTACAGTGTAGTGCATTTCTAATATATTAGTTTATGCTTGAAGCTAACTTTTGACAGTTTGGGAGCCCGGAGGCTTAAAAATACTGAACTCAAGCATATATCTTGTCATGAATCACAACTATCAAGAATTCACCATTCACTTATTTTGGAAAGTGAATATTGCTTTCTGGATGACAATATTATATGAGTCTATTATTACTTCTCTAGTAATGCCACCTTGTGACATTGCTCATAGAATAATGCGTACATGTATACAGTGAGCATACATCCAGGTGATACATCTTAGGAAGAACAAGGCAACATCTTCAAATGAAGCATAACATGTGTAACAGGGTCTGGTGAGACTATAGATTTGACAAATATCTAGCCATTTTATCATCAAGCTAAACATTATTTCTTCTTTATTGAAACAGTAATTAGAATGTTTATTAAGGAATTTACATATACACATCCTGCTTTATTAGTATGTATGTCATTCTTCATTTTCAAACCTTGCCATAACTGATCTGAAAGGACTTGAACTTTAGAGTTACAATGTTGCCTCTTTTATGATGTGGGAAGAGGAAGGGAAAAGGTTGTATTAGGGACATTAAACCCGCTAAACTGAGAAAATGGCTAGTTTTGTCATGTTAAAGACACAGAACCATGAGCAGGTCCAATGTTCCAATAGTTTTATTATTTAGAGACTGGTCTGCCAATACTAAATATTTCTTAGACCTTTATATTTATTTGACAGGTAGAGTTATAGATAGTGAGAGAGAGAGACAGAGAGAAAGGTCTTCCCTCCTCTGGTTCACTCCCCAAATGGCTGCCATGGCCAGTGCTGCACAGATCCGAAGCCAGGAGCCAGGTGCTTCTTCCTGGTCTCCCACGTGGGTGCAGGGGCCCAAGCACTTAGGCCATCCTCCACTGCTCTCCCAGGTCACAGCAGAGAGCTGGACTGGAAGAGAAGCAACCGGGACTAGAACCCGGCACCCTTTCTTAGCCCTTTTAACTTTGAAGAAAATTGGAAAGGGGGTTAGCATAAATAAACAGTGTTGCTCAAAGTATGCTTTGCAAGTCAGAAGTATCTGTCAAGATACTAATAATTATTTTAAATAGTTATATACTAATAATTATTTTTTCAGTCTGGGAGGCAATAGGTGATGGCTCAAGTAGTTGGGGTGACCCAGGTGATTGAGAGACCTGGACTGAATTCTTGGCTATAGAATGACCCAGCCCTAGCTGATGGCAGGCATCTGAGGAGCAAACCAGCAAATGGGAGTGCCCTAACCCCAGTCCCCAGCCCCCCTCCTCCCCACCCAAGAACATGAACAAATAAATTAATAATTTTTAAAGAGATACTAATAATTAGAAACTTTTTTATGGCAGACCTCTGTTATAAGCTTAATTAAGGCAGAATTCTGAATGCCTGCAGCGTCTGTGTTAACAAAAGACCAAAGACTTGTTGAATCATCTAGCTCGGCTTTCTACAATGGATTGCCAGGATACAGATTGCAGATGCCGCCTATTGGGGCACCGACAACGTTCACACTTGAGGTAATACTACTTTTTAAAAAATATTTACATTTAATTGTTTATTTAATATTTGCTTTCTGATTGTATTGTAGTCTTCTAAAGTTAAGGATCAAAGCCTCAGAATTTTTCTATAGATGATTTTAGCTAATTATATATATATATGTTCTTTTTTTTTTTTTTTTTTTGGACAGGCAGAGTGGACAGTGAGAGAGAGAGACAGAGAGAAAGGTCTTCCTTTGCCGTTGGTTCACCCTCCAATGGCCGCCGCAGCCAGCGCGCTGCAGCCGGCGCACCGCGCTGATCCGATGCCAGGAGCCAGGAGCCAGGTGCTTTTCCTGGTCTCCCATGGGGTGCAGATATATATGTTCTTGAATATACAAATATTATATACATTATATATAGTAAATGGCCCCAGGAGTAGCATATTAAAAAAGCCACTGGTCTAGAATTTAACTAATTACAAATGAAAAGGTTTACATGTAACACAAATGACACTTGATATTGTGAATGGCATAGTGGAGACCCTTGTTACCTAACTGTTAAACTAGACACTTTATAGTTATAAAAACCCCAATATTCTTTAATAATATAATATATACAATAATTGTGGATAGGAAGTGTTTCTCAAACCTCATTTGACGAGTATAGTTACTTCACTAGCAACAGTATCTTCTGAATAATTTATTTAACTTCTTACCAGGCCTCACCTGTTACAAATCTCAACTCCCAACATCACCATCCTGGGACACACTTAAGCCATATCCAAACCTCAGTAGAATTGCAGCTGAAAGCATTGGGATTACTTGGGGCCTTAATGACATATAAATATTTACAAGTCAATTAGTTCACAATGGATACTTGGGTCAAACCATGAGGGATAGCTTGTTAGCTGTTAGAAATCCTATGAAAGTTCCAAGATATTTTCAACAATTACATCCAAGAAAAATAAATTACACTCTTCTGGCATCTTGTTAGAAGCAAAGGTGCTTTATCTCAAACCTTATCTCAAGCCATCAGGGCTCCAGACAATGCAATAAAGGTTGGAGTCTAATCCCAGCTGTGTCCTCTCTTTCAAAGTCCACTCCACAATTTTGTTTCCCCTGAACATTTTTTGCTTATTTATAGGAAGTCAATCATAGATTGCTAAAATTATCCTCTGCACTGTGAAAAAGATGGATGCAGGAGTTCCACTTCCAAGAATCTTTTTTTTTCAAATATTACAAATATTTAATGAGAAGTGGTTTGTAATTGGAACAGAGAGGTGAGGACAGAGAGAACGGCATTTGTTAAGGATGGCCTTGACAGTAAAAAGCCTTTTCAATGGCTAATTTTACTACTTTGAGTTAGGTAAAAACCTCAGTTAAGGGAGAGGACACAGAGTTATATAAATTTGGAGATTTGTTTAGGTGAAGAAGGAAAGAAGGCAAGTGAGTGAGTTTTGGTGTTAAGGTACTAACATGTGACAGTGGGCAGCCAAGACGAGAAATTCTTCCTGAGTTTGAAACTAGCTTGAAACTAGGATACAGAGTCTGGAAACAGTCAGGAATGGGGAAGGAAAAACAATGCTGACATGTGCTGCAGAGCCCAGATTCCGCAGTTCTAGAGATACAGAAGGCAAAGCAGCAGTAGCTGAGTTATTTGGGAAATGATTAGGACACTTCAGCAGCCCCTGCCGGGCTTTACAGGATTCACACAAAGAAAATTGCCTGCCAACAGGAAGAATTCCTCCTCCGACTGCAGCGCTTTCTCTCTCCCACCCCTGAGGGCCCCCGGGGACCGCTGGGGCCAGGCCAAGCTTGGCCAGCGCTGCCAGCTTTTTTTCACTCTCTGCACTGATCAGGAGGGCGGGGGCGGGTTTGGCCAAGGTCCGAGGCTGCTCACCGCGTTCCCGGCGCGCGCGCTGGACTGGCTTCTCTGCAGCTCCCAGGCTACCGACAGCAGCCGGCGTTCGAGGCTCCGCGCGGAAGAAGCAATGGCCAACTCCAGGGGCCGTCTGTACCTTTGGATGTGCTTGGCTGCAGCGCTGGCATCTTTCCTGGCGGGATTTATGGTGGGTAAGTTACAAACTCCCCACCCCCGCACCGCGGACCCAGGGCTGGCCAGCCTCCGGAAGGCGGCTACCGTGCAAAGGGGAATGAAAGCAGCGTGCATCTGGAAGGGACTGGGCCGTAGGCTGGCCTTTGCCAGGTCCAGTGAGCTTCATGTGGGGAACCCTGGAAATTTCAGCAGAAGTAAAAATTCAATGTAGTGTGTTGTGTTACTCAGTGCTGAGTTCCGGCTACCCTTAGGGGCTTTTGGAAAGACAGTTTAGAGCTGTCACTATTCTCAGAGATGGGAAAGATGGTTTCATTTCCAAGCAATACGGAGTCAGAAATACCAACGTATCTGAGGGCACTGCAAATAACTGAACTTTCCTCATCCTTTAAGTGTCTGTGGAAGGAGGCTGTGTGTGCCAAGCACTGTCTTGCATATTAGATCTGCAGGGGAGAACCAGAGCAGATACTAAAGTAAAACTTCAACCAACTCAGAATTGCATCATACATTAGGATTAAAAGATTTTCAGCATTTAATGGGGCCCATTTGTCTTTAAAGCCCACCATGATCTATGGCGGGGGGGGGGGGGGGCACTTTTTCTCTTCTGATTTTGAAAAACCATAGCGATTGTGTGTGTGTGTGTGTGTGTGTGTGTGTGTATTTTCCCTCAGGCTGGTTCATTAAGCCTTTCAAAGGAACAACCACTTCAGTGCGCTATCATCAAAGTATACGGTGGAAACTGGTCTCAGAAATGAAAGCTGAAAACATTAAATCATTTCTTCGGTGAGTTTGTTTTTGCATATTTGATCTTAAAAATACTGTTTAAAACATTGCTGAGTGTAATGTGTATTAAATCTGGTTACATGTATGTGAGATATCTTTGTGTGGAAATTAGGTAGCAGTCATTAATTTATGGTTGTGTAAAGCCTCTCTTTAAACCATTAATAAGTTGAAATCCATTCCTTTTACAGAAATAGAGCTTTCTTCCCAAAACTTCATTTATCAAAAGGTATCTGGTAGTCCTACTGAGAGATTTTTCAACTTCATTTGGTTTTTTTGTTTATATTTTCTGAATAAAAATATATTTTTCTTAAAATGCAATTCATGGAACTTTGGACCGCAGCTCAATGTTATTATTTCTTCTTCATGCCTGAATTTAATCAGCATTTTTTTTTAACACATCATATTCTGTCAGGAAGAGTTTTGTGGTATTGATTCACTGGTTTAGTGGAAAGAAGGTAACTGCCTACCATAGGTTAAACCATTATCTCATCTTGCAAATATACATTTGTTGTTCACAAATAAAACAAAATGAAAGCAAAGAGGCATTAATGCATATCCTTCAATTTCTAAACATGAACAAGAGTTACTGACATTCAGGGGAAGGATTATGAACTCCTTGAGGTCAATGACCTATGGCATCTATTTCTGGGATGACTTTCAAAGGAGTGCCATTAAAAAATCAGATTTATTGAAACATAATTTACATAAGCTGCATCTCTATAGAACCTATAATTTGAGTTCTGACTGATTATACTGTATTCAGCAAACCTTCTCAGTCAAAATTCAAAAAAAAAAAAACTTGTTATTCTCTCTGCAGTTTATTCCTCCCTTCTTCCTTGACCATACGCAACCAGTGGTCACTGTTATGTCACCATAGATTCATCTCTATTTTCTGGAATTTTATATAAATGAAATTAGATAGTATGCACTTTTGTGTCTGGCTTCCTTCATACAGAGTAATGATTTTGGATTCACTCAGGTTGTTGCAGGTATCATTGTTTTGTTGTTGAATAGTATTCCACTTTATGGATATACTCCAATGTATAGTCAAGGGATATTTGGATTGCTCTTGGTTTTTTATTATTGTGAGTGAAGCTTCTATGAATGTATGATTACAAGTCTTTTTGTGGATTTATGTTTTTATTTCCCTTGGAATGGCTGGGTTGGAATAGCTGAGTTGGATGACAAACATATGTCTTACTTCTTAAGAAAATGCTGAAGTGAATTCACAAAGAGAGGGAGCTCTGCAATCCACTGGTTCACTCCCCAAATGACCACAATGACCAGGGCTGGGGCAGGCTGAAGCCAGGAGCCAGGATCTTCATCCAGGTTTCCCTTGAAGTGGCAGAGACCCAAGCACTTGGGTCATCTTTTGCTGCATTTCCCAGGCCATTAGCAGGACAGCCAGGACACTAACTGGCACCCATATGAGATGCTGGTGTTGCAGTCTGGGATTTTGTCCACTATTCCACAACAGCGGTCCCACCAAGGCAACTTCAGAAGTGGTTGCATCACATTGCATTCCTGTCCACCACATGTGAATGTTGCTGTTGCTGCTCAGCATGCCCAATACTTAGCACTGTCAGTTGTCTTAATTATGATAGTTTTAGTGGTGAGTAGTGATATTGTACTGTTTTTAATTTGGATTCTTCTTCTGACAGGATATTAAACATCTTCTTATGAGCCTATTGGATGTTTGTGTGTCTCCATTTATAAAGATTTATAATTGGAATTTACACATATAGGTCAAAGATCCACTTCAAGTTAATTTTTGTGGGTGGTTGGATGTGAGGGTTGATGATACAGTTTGTTTTAAAATAAGACACAAACACACTCACATGCACACACACACAGAGAAAGAGAGAGAGAGAGAGAGAGAGAGAGAGAGAGAGAGAGAGAATGTATATAGAATGGGAGAGAGCAAGCTTCCATTTACTGGTTCATTCCCTAAATGTTTACATGGACAGGGCTGCGTGGCCTGGCTAAGTCCAGGAGCTGGGAACTAAATCCAGGTCTCCCTTGTGGGTGGCAGGGACCCAGTACTTGAGCCATCCTTGCTGCCTTCCAGGGTCTACATTAACAGGAAGCTGAAGTCAAGAATCAGAGCTGGGTAGTGACGCCAGATATTCTGATGTGGGGCACAGGAATTTTAGCCAGACTCTCAACTGTTAGATTAAACACCCACCTACAACATTCATTGAAATAACTCTTCTTGCTTAGGAATGTTTGATTTTGCTAACTATTTCTTAAAATATTTTTCTACACATTCTTTTCTTCTCTTCCTTTGAGATTCCAGATAAGCCCTAGAGAATCTTCTACAGAGTGAAATGCATACACAATGGTGCATTTCCTCTTCTGTGCTGTGATTTGATGAGATCACAATGTTCCATTCTGTGAATTTAATTAGAATAAGCTAGCATATGAAAACAATTGTACTGTTCTTAGGAAATTTGAGCGGACTTATGGCCAAAACAAATCACATATCAAGAAGCTAATTCAAAATGTCTGCTTTTAGGTGCTTTTTTGGAGATACAGAAAAAAGAAAGAGTAGGCAGTGGGATCAATATCATTTGAAGAGACAATCTGTCTGTATTGTTAATGCAATGAAGTAAAATGGCAGAATGTCTTACCAAGTGGGACAAAATGCTTATATTGAAATTTGTACAACTTAAAAATATGAGATAAGATGTTAACACTGTTGTACTGTGCCTGCAGAATAACATGAAGTGTTGATAAGAGAGCATCAGCTATCAATGGTAAAACTTGGTGATGCTCTTAACTGAACTTTTTTTTTAGATTTTATTTATTTATTTGAGAGGTAGAGTTACACACAGTGAGAGGGAGAGACAGAGAGAAGGGTCTTCCATCCACTGGTTCACTCCCCAAATGGCCGCCACAGCTGGAGCTGAGCCTATCCAAAGCCAGGAGCCAGGAACCTCCTCTGTGTCTCCCACACAGGTGCTGGGGCCCAAGCTCTTGGGCCATCTTCTACTGCTTCCCCAGGCCATAGCAGAGAGCTGGATCCAAAGAGGACCACCCAGGAATAGAAGTTGTGCCTATATGGGATGCCTGTGCCACAGGCAGAGGATCAACCTATTGCGCCACAGCGCTGGCCCCTTAATTGAACTTTAAAAGTCATGCTTATTTATATTATTAGTACCTTAATTTCATTTTTAAAAGATTTTATTTATTTATTTATTTATAAGTCAGAATTACAGAGAGAGAGGGAGACAGGGTGGGGGGACGGCGCTGTGGCTCAGCAGGTTGGCACCCTGGCCTGAAGCGCTGGCATCCCATGTGGGCACCGGTTCTGGTCCCGGCTGCTCCACTTCCGATCCAGCTCTCTGCTGTGGCCTGGGAAGGCAGTGGAAGATGGCCTGGGTCCTTGGGCCCCTGTACCCACGTGGGAGACCCTGGGAAGGCTCCCAGCTCCTGGCTTCCGATCGGCACAGCTTCGCATCAGCACAGCTCCGGCTATGGCGGCCATCTGGGGAGTGAAGCAATAGATGAAGACCTCTCTCTCTCTCTATCTCTACCTCTCTCTGTAACTCTGCCTGTCAAATAAATAAAATAAATCTTAAAAAAAAAAAAAAAAGAGAGAGACAGACACACATACACACACAGAGAAAGATCTTCCATCCTCTGGTTCAGTCCCAAGTGGCTGCAACAACCAGGCCTGGGCCAGGCCAAATCCAGGAACCAGGATTTCTTCCAGGTCTCCAACATATATACAGGGACCCAAAGACTTGGACCATCCTCTTTTGCCTTCCCAGGCAGATGAGTAGGGAGCTGGCTTGGAAGCGGAGCAGCTGGGGCTCAAACTAGCACCCATATGGGATGCTGGCACTGCAGCCAGTGGCTTAACCTATTGCACCACAGCGCTGACCCCACTTTTCTTTAATTTCTAATATCCATAAAGTGACAAGTTATGTGTGAATAGTTTTCTTTTCAGTGTTGGCTTTTTTTTCCTTTGTGTCCAACTGAATACAGAAATTACATGCCAAGAACAGTGACCCAATAGGGACAGAGGGAAATACAATGAATTAGGTGCCCACAACTTAAATGTAGAGGAATGATCTAAGTTTTGGAGATAATGACACCTACAACATGCAGTAGGTGGTGACTTTTGATATGAACTTCAAAAAGAGCTGTTACTTTTAAAGAAAATGAAGGAAAAATATTAGAAAGAGCCATTGAAATATAAGAAAGACTCCATTGAAATATAAGAAAGGCCTTGTAGCTCTGACATATACGGAGGCATGTGAAAAAGAACAGCTTGGCAAGGCCCTCAGAGAAAACCAGTTAAAGCAAGCAGATAAATTAAACATTCAGTAAAGGGGCTGGAGGCACAGGAGAATTGTTGGTTTATTATTGATCTATTCATTATAGATATAAAGGGTTTGTAAACACAATAGTATAGTTCAGGAAGGAAATGAGGGGCTCTACATTGGGTTAAAGAGACTAACAATTTCATTACACCCAACCACTTTCTTATTGACAGGGCCTCAATCGTATTTTCCTGCTTCCAGGAAGGCTTGTATTTATCAGATGTTGTCATCTTCCAGATCTAGGAATCTTTTTATTGTTCATAGGCAGGTAATAATTTTATTCCGTTTGGCAATGATTGGTTTAAGTAGAGGAGAGTGACCTAATGAAATGAGAAAAACATTTAGTTAAGGTCTTCTACAAAGTATTTTCCTCTGTTAAATGAAACCTGCAAGAGGTACTAGCTGCTCTTGCTTGTACTTGTTTCTCGTAAGCATTATTGAGTGTATATGTGCTGCCTGGAACTATAATGCCCATCTTGGACCCTGATGAGAAACTTGTAGGAAATGAGTACTTGGGCCATTATCTCCTGCTTCCCTGCCACGTTGGCAGAGGGCTGAATTGGAAGCAGAATAGCTGAGACTTGGCATTCTTCGCAAGCTGTGGCTTAACCCCCTGCATCCCAATGCTGGGCTTCATATTTTTCTGAGTATACAAAATATCATATGTATAAACACATTAGCACATTTTAAAGATTTATTTGAAAGACAGAGTTGCGGAGAGAGGTACAGCCAGAGAGAGAGGTCTTCCATCTGCTGGTTCACTCCCCAAATGACTGCAATGGCCAGAGCTGAGCTATTCCAAAGCCAGGAGCCAGGAGTTTCTTCCAGGTTTCCCATGTGGGTGCAGGGTCCCAAGGACTTGGGCCATCTTCTGTTGCTTTCCCAGGCCATAGCAGAGAGCTGGATTGGAAGTAGAGCAAACCAGGTCTCAAACTGGTGCTCATTTGGGATGCCTGCGCTGCAAGCTGGGGCTTTAACCTGCTGTGCCACAGTGCCAACTCCATTAGTACATTTTAAAAAACAAATGTTGTAAGAATTAAACAGCTACAATGTGTAGTTTTCATTTGATGATATAGGGAAGGACAATTTCCCAGGGAAGAAGATGCTTGAGGAGTCCTAGTGGCTGATGAGTACTTTGCAGGTGGGAGAGAGGGAGAAGTAAAAACGGTGAGGGAGGGAGAGTCAAGTACATGTGATATATGCATGTCTGAGAGAAGGCCCCATGTAAAGGTAAGGGGTAAGAGAGAGCACAATCACTTCAGGAGAAAATGAATATACTCTCTGATGTAGAGCAGAAAATTTTATAGAGTAGTCGGAAGTGAAGCTGAAAAGGTAGAAGAATGGACCATATCTAAAAGGAATTTATATGCCCTGTGGGGCGGTGAGCTTCATAATACAAAGTGTAGGAAGGGATAGAACCCATATGGGAGGTTGGCGCTGCAGGCCTGGGCTTTAAAACTGACTGCGCCACAGCACCGGCCTCTAAAGTTGCAATCTTAAGACAACAGTCCAGATAAAAGATGATGCAGTCTTGAATTAGGAAGTTAGCTAGATTGAGGAAAAAGGGTGGATCTGAGAACCAGTTAGGGAGCATTTTAGTAGAACTTAATTAGTGACTGATTGGAGAAAAGAAGCAAAAAGTGAGTTCAGGATGACTCCCAGATTTTAAGCAGATTTAAGGGATTTTAAGGAGTTAGGTAGTAAGAACAGATGAATTATTTAGAAATATCAGTATTTCTCAAGATCAGACAGGTATACTTTCAGATTCCAGTCCCAGCATTTGTTAGATGTGAAGTTATGAATGAGTTACTCAACCATCCTCTGTTTCCTGTTTGGAAAAATGGGGTCTGTGAAAGATGAGTTCTGAGTATAAATGAGAACACATGTTAATGTGTCTGTAGAGGGCTTAATATATGATAAGTTTTTGATAAAGATGAATTCCTTCTACTTTTGTCTTTTGGTTAGCTAAAAATCACTTTATAAAAGTAATTGCTTTACTAATATCAGTGGGAGAGGGTTGGGAAAATGTTTTTAAAAGTATTTACCCAGGGGCTGGCACTGTGGTATAGCGGGTAAAGCCACCACCTGCAGTGCCGGCATCCCATATGGGTGCAGGTTCGTGTTCTGGCTGCGCCATTTCTGATCCAGCTCTCTGCTGTAGCCTGGGAAAGCAATGCAGAATGGCCCAAATCTTTGGGCCCCTGCATATGTGTGGGAGATCTGGAAGAAGCTTCTGGCTCCTGGCTTTGGATTGGCACAACTCCAACTGTTGCGGCCATCTGGTGACTAAACCACTGGATGGAAGACCTCTCCCCTGCCCCTCTCCTTTCTGCAACTCTGCCTTTCAAATAATATAAATAAATATTTTTTAAAAAAGTATTTACCTGAGGCAAAACCGATTTTACTAAGAAATGCATTTATGAGGCCACATCAACACTACAAGTGATTTACCCACAGAATTGAAAGGACACTGTCTAAATTCAATTCAACAAGCTCAGACAGAAGTGTTAGGCTCAATGATAAAAATCAGCAACTATAGCCATAGTACAATTAATAGAAGTATGACTATAAGATAAATGAAGAAGTGTGTCTCTCTGGTCCCTGGTAAACATTAAGACTTTTATTTTGCTTTGTTTTTACAAAATACCCTCTATTTGTGGATGAGCAGCAAGAAGGAGCACCATGGGGATAGGAGTGTGACCCTCTTCCTGAGTGTCTTCTCACATCTGGGCCTGTGCTGATTCTGTTAACTATGAGTGTGTTCTTTTCTGAGGGAGCACCATGGGGAAACTGCAGTTGTGTACAAACATGTTTAAAACTGGCATATACCCAAGTTGTTATCTCTGGCTGGGTTTTTTTCGTATCTCTGATATGGAAATGATAACTTAAGGCTTAAAGGTTGAGTAATGCATCTAAAATAGTCTTTAGCACATCATCTGAATATAGTTTTAACTCCTTCTTGTGTTTTATTTTCATTTTAGCTCTTTTACAAAACTTCCTCATCTGGCAGGAACAGAACAAAATTTACTGCTCGCCAAGAAAATTCAAACCCAGTGGAAGAAATTTGGGCTAGATTCAGCCAAGTTGGTTCATTATGATGTTCTTCTCTCTTACCCTAATGAGACAAATGCCAACTATATATCAATTGTGAATGAACATGGAATTGAGGTGATACAGAATTGTTGGTATTTTTCATGTTTTATAAATCCACCCTTTTATGTGGATTGGAGTGTAGGATCAAGTAAAAATAGAAGTTTGTTAATAATCCAATAAAAATAACATTTAAAAAATTGATGATATGCAAGCTAAATATTAAGAGTCTAGTAGGCATTAGGCATGGTACTAGGCCCTGAGGCCAGAAGGAAAGTTAGGACATAGGTGCTTTGCTTAAGTCAGATGAGGCTGACAATGAAATACATTGCTTCAAGTCAATATGGTAAGTGTTATGAACAGTATTATTAGGGCTGTTTATCTCACACACACACAAAAAGTCACTAAGTCCAGCCTGTGAGTTAGAGGAGATTTCCTGAAAGTGTTGATACGTTATGAAAGCACACAAGGAATTACTCATGTGGGAAAGCAAGATAAGAATTTTCTAGGCAAAAAATAAAATATTGGCAAAGCCTTAGAAACATAAACTAGCTTAGTAGCATTGGGAGAATTTAAGATCTGCATTTCAAACGTTTTAAACACAAAGTAGGCTGTGATTAAAGGAAAACGAGTAGATATGTTCTGCAGACTGTCATAAAAGGACTTACATGCTATCTTGAAGGTCTTAGAAATTAACTTTAGTCCACAGGAGCCAGTGACAAAAGTCCAAAGCAGGGGGAGGGTGTAGGTAGAATGGAATCTGAGATAGATTGAGCAGTCTGCTGATTATACTTACACTAGAGAAGGAGTTAAAGTTGCAGTCTTTTTTTTTTTTCCCTAAGATTTATTTCATTTATTTGAAATGCAGTTAGAGAGAGAGATTCAGAGAGAGAGAGGTCTTCCATCCTGTGGTTCACTCCCCAAATGGCTGCAATGGTGCAATCCAAAGCCAGGAGCCAGGAGCCAGGAGCCAGGAGCCAGGAGCTTCTTCCAGGTCTCTCACATGGGAGCAGGGACCAAGCACTTGGACCATCCTCCCCTGTTTTCCCAGGCATATTAGCAGAGAGCTGGATGGGAAGTGGAGCAGCTGGGACTCAAACTGGCACCCATATGGGATGTTGGCGCTGCAGGCCTGGGCTTTAAAACTGACTGCGCCACAGCACCGGCCTCTAAAGTTGCAATCTTAAGACAACAGTCCAGATAAAAGATGATACAGTCTTGAATTAGGATGTTAGCTAGATTGAGGAAAAAGGGTGGATCTGAGAACCAGTTAGGGAGCATTTTAGTAGAACTTAATTAGTGACTGATTGGAGAAAAGAAGCAAAAAGTGAGTTCAGGATGACTCCCAGACTAGAAACAGGCCTGGATTTGGAGAGTCAGAAGAAAGATAATAACAATCAAGCTCTTAAATGTGAGTGTATGAGTTTTAAAACTGGGCATCATAAGCATATTGGCTGTTTGTGAAATTTTCACAGGAAGGCAACATAGAATGAGTCAAGTAGTGTACTGGAGGTAAAATATGGGGAAAAATTATTTAAATAAAGATAGGAGAAAAAGAGGCCCACAAAGTAAGATGGAAAAACAGTCAAAAAAGGAAACTCAGGAGACTTCCACCTTTGAAGCCCCGTTTTTTCACTTTATAAAGAAGCTTTAAGTTAGCTGGGATTGCTAGCATTTGTAAAAGTTTCTATTATTTTGAAAACAAACAAAAAAAATAAAGCTTTTCAACATGGTCTACATATTTTTAGAACCTAGTTCCAGGATGTTTAATCTAAAGTGTATATTTGAGGGCAAAATGGATTAAACTTTTATAACAACCTGAAATTATTCTTTTCAACTTGAGTCTTTCCATTTTTGCTAGATTTTCAAAACAACATCCCTTGAACCTGCACCAGATGGATATGAGAATGTTACAAATATTGTACCGCCATATAATGCTTTCTCAGCCCAAGGCACGCCAGAGGTAAAATAAAGACATTTGTTTGTTCTCTTGTTTAAAATTTTCTTTGTTATGTGGAACTTGTGTAGAGGACTAAAATGAAAAAGATTAGGTGAGTTATACACACCAGTCCATTATTTACTACTGAGCACTAATGAACACATCCCCTTAAAATAAAAAGTAATATGTTTTACAAAAAGAAAATACCAGAAAAATCAAGAAAGCAAGTACATTTAAAATAGACCTTCGTGAAGCATATGCCACTCTGAAATAACAAAATTAAACATGCTTTTAATTCACTAATGCCAATAGATGCTTTTATAAGCTCGGGTAATTTTTTAAAATATTTATTTATTTATTTGAAAGTCAGAGTTACACAGAGAGGTCTTTCATCCTCTGGTTCACTCCCTAGTTGGCCACAATGACTGGAGCTATGCCGATACAAAGCTAGGAGCCAGGAGTTTCTTCTGGGTCTCCCACATGGGTGCAGGGTCCCAATGACTTGGACCGTCTTCTACTGCTTTCCTAGGCCAAGCAGAGAGCTGGATCAGATGTGGAGCAGCCAGGTCTTGAACCAGCACCCATATGGGATGCCGGCACTACAGGCGGTGGCTTTACCTGCTCTGCCACAGTGCCAGCCCCTAGTAATTGTTTATAAATCTGAATTGATCATAGTTGATAGATTTGTTTTTGTAGATCATCCACAGAAGCTCTTAAAAATGACTTTTTTTTTTTTTTTTGACAGGCAGAGTAGACAGTGAGAGAGAGAGAGAGACAGAGAGAAAGGTCTTCCTTTTGCCATTGGTTCACCCTCCAATGGCCGCCGCGGCCAGTGCGCTGCAGCCGGCGCATCGCGCTGATCGGAAGCCAGGAGCCAGGTGCTTCTGCTGGTCTCCTATGCGGGTGCAGGGCCCAAGCACTTGGGCCATCCTCCACTGCACTCCCGGGCCACAGCAGAGAGCTGGCCTGGAAAAGGGGCAACCGGGACAGAATCCGGCGCCCCGACCGGGACTAGAACCCGGTGTGCCGGCTCCGCTAGGTGGAGGATTAGCCTATTGAGCCGCGGCAAAAATGACATTTCTTTTATCTCCTGTGATCTAGAATACACTGATAATTTCTTCCACATAATGTACTATTTAAATATGTCTCATATTAACATTTTTTAACTTCTTTGGATTTGGAAAATCCTCTAAAGAATACAGAATCATCATGGGTTTTTTATTAATTGCAAATAAGGAAAGAAAACTTTCAGTGATGCAATACTGTAAGCAAACTTCTTTATTTCTTCTTAATTTCAGCAGTATTGAATTTGTTTCTTTCTTTATTCCTCTAGGGAGATCTTGTATATGTGAACTATGCTCGTACTGAAGATTTTTTCAAACTAGAAAGAGAGATGAACATCAACTGCACTGGAAAGATTGTTATTGCAAGATATGGGAAAATCTTCAGAGGAAATAAAGTATGGTTTTATTTTTCTAGAGGAAAGGGGAGAGGATATGTCCTATAAATGTACATAATCAGCTTGATTCATGATGTCCAAGATTGCTTCATGATGTCCAAGATTGCTTTAAAAATTGCCTTTTGTGCTATTTTCTAGGTGTGCCCAGAAATTTCTGTTTTTATGTACCATCAGGTAGCTATAAAGGGAAATAATTTTAAATGATTTTATTACAAAAGTAATATTTGCTATTTAACATCTAATTGAAGGAAACTTATATAAACTAAAAAATGTAAAGTTCCCCTGCATTATGTAAATTCATTGCCCAGATATAATCAATCTTAAGAGCTATTCATAACCTAATTAGGTGAGATATATGATCATATGTTTATTTATGTATAAGCTCACTTTACATACATATTTTAAAAACAAAGACTATGTTATACATTAGACAATTTTATTTTTTTACCCTTAGCTATAATTCAGGTTTATCCTTCCACATCAGCTTACTGAGAGTTGTATAATACAGTGGTTAAGATTATAGGCCCAGGCCGGCACCGTGGCTCACTTGGTTAGTCCTCTGCCTGTGGTGCTGGCATCCCATATGGGTGCCGGGTTCTAGCTTCAGTTGCTCCTCTTCCAGTCCAGCTCTCTGCTGTGGCCTGGGAGGGCAGTGGAGGATGACCCAAGTGCTTGGGTCCCTGTACCTCCAACGGAATGAAGACCTTTCTCTCTGTCTCTCGCTCTCTCACTGTCTAACTCTATCTGTCAAAAAAGATTATAAGCCCAAAGATTCTTACCACTTAGGGCTGGTCTAGTCTGGGACTCTGTTCTCCAGATTTTTTACTGTGATTTATGTAACCAACCATAAGTATGCCAAAGTTTTCTCATATATAAAATGTAAACACTAGTAGCACCAATCTCACAGAGTCCTTATTAAGATAATGTCTGGTAATAATAATTTCTGTAAAACTGATTTAAATACTTCACTAATTTAATTGATAGCATGATATTTTATAGAATTGATAAGCTAATCATTTCTCTGTTGAATTTTTTGCTTATCTTGAATTTGTTATTACTACAAATAATTCTACTGTGAACACCCTTATCCAGATTTGTGTGAATTTTGTAGTATAGATTCCTAGAAAAGAAATTGCTGAAGTGTATATTCTTTCAGAATTTTGATTGGCACAATCAAATGTCCTTTTAAGAAATTGTGACACATTACGCCCCCGCTGATATATAGTAAAATTCTTCCTGAATATTGGAATATGTTTTAATGAATCATACTTGATAGTTATACATCTTTTGTCACAATATTTCTGATAATGAAGAATTCAGTATCTCATAGGGTAGATTTTTTTTTTTTTTTTTTTTTTACAGGCAGAGTGGACAGTGAGAGAGACAGAGAGAAAGGTCTTCCTTTGCCGTTGGTTCACCCTCCAATGGCCGCCGCTGCAGCCGGCGCACCGCGCTGATCCGATGGCAGGAGCCAGGAGCCAGGTGCTTTTCCTGGTCTCCCATGGGGTGCAGGGCCCAAGCACCTGGGCCATCCTCCACTGCACTCCCTGGCCATAGCAGAGAGCTGGCCTGGAAGAGGGGCAACCGGGACAGAATCCGGCGCCCTGACCGGGACTAGAACCCGGTGTGCCGGCGCCGCAAGGTGGAGGATTAGCCTATTGAGCCACGGCGCCGGCCTAGATTTTTCTATCCTTGGCCAATTTGGATTGTTAGAAAGATGCTTACAAAACCAATTTGGGCAGTTTTTCACACCCTATGATTCTTCTCAATAAAATTCCATACCAGTTTAGTTTTACAAATATTTTGTTAGATGCTTACTCTATAATGTGTGAGATTTAGGAGAGCAGATAGTTAAATGTGAAAAAGACATTCTCAATAATACTCTCAGTCTAATAGGAAAAACAGAAACTTAAAAGTTACTTCAATAAACTCTAGGATGTTCTATAACAGAAAGTTATACAAAATACAGAATTACAAAGAAGAAAGAAGACATCAATTTTGAGTTTTGGGAATAATAGGAATGCTTCACATAAAAGATGGTACCTTGTTATATAGAATAAATATGTGTTAGGGCATGTACAAGGGAAAATGTACTCAAGGCAAAGATAACAGAATGTGTTAATGGGACAACAAAAAGTAGTGTTTAAGTGTCCTTACTTTATTAGATTGGTGCTTTTTGTAATATTAGTAAGCCAATCATGTGCTGTTTCTGTATCACCACTTGCACACTGTCCCTACAGGTTAAAAATGCCATGTTAGCAGGAGCCATCGGGATCATCTTGTACTCAGATCCAGCTGACTACTTTGCCCCCGAGGTACAGCCATATCCCAAAGGATGGAATCTTCCTGGCACTGCAGCCCAGAGAGGAAATGTGTTAAATTTGAATGGTGCTGGTGACCCACTTACTCCAGGCTATCCGGCTAAAGGTAATGAATGAGCCTATCAGTTCACTGTTTTTGCAAAATATCCCTTGCCTTTTTGATCAGATCAAAGCAAATAGCAAAAGAATAACATTCAAATTATCATTTTTGATTATTATTACTAGGAAATCAAAAGCATTGTCTCTTCTATTGTTTTAGTTTTAAATTTCTGTGAGGTGTGGGCTGCATTCTCCTACCTTTAGTAGAATAGAGGTCAGAAACACAGATCCTCATACCCAGAGGAATATTGCTCTTCTCAAAGTGGAATTAGGTTTTCTGAATTCCCTAAGAAATTCACTCTTTAGATAATATATTCTTATTTTTTAAAATACCAATGAGTTTTCTGATTAGTGCTATTTAAAATTTAAAATTTGAGAAGTTTTGATACATGTGAAACCATATCCCACAAACCAGACCAAAAAAAAAATACATCCATTACTGCAAAATAAGTTTTCTGTCATCTCTTCAGAATCCCTTTCCATTCTTCCTGCCTGTACCCCTGTCAACCCCCTACCCACTCACACCATTTACATCAATGATTCATTTTGTTATTGCTGACTAGAATCCCATTGAATAGCTACACCAAAATTTGTTTATCCTTTTGCTTTTTGCACATTTGGGTCACTTTCAGTCTCATAGCTATTACACATAAGTGTATCATAAGCTTTGTACAAATTATGTGTGTATATATACTTTTTAAAAAAATTATTTATTTATTTGAAAATCAGAGTTACACAGAGAGAGAAAGAAAGGTATCTTGGTTGAAAGCCCCAGTCCCAGTGAGATTTTAAGGCTGTCAATACTTTTCAATATACCTTTAAAGAGAATGCTGTGTTACTGTGAATAGATGTTTATCATTAATTCCTAAGATCTTACAAATTTCCTTTGGTTATTTTTTCCAATCATTTCTAGTTTCAAAATCTGGAACACATTTTCCAGATATCTGGTTAGTTGAAGCTTCTACAAGAAGAATACAAGATATCTTTGAGGAAATAAAATATTCTTAAAATTCAAGAGAATTATGCAGACTGCCAAAACAAATTTGGGAAACTATAATCTCAGTAATTGATTTTACCTTAATGTATAAATGATTTAAACTTTACTGTTGATCAAATGGGCTGTATTAAGTAAAAAGATAGTTGGACTTTTGGGTAACTTTTAATTTTGCTTTAATTGCAAATGTGTAGCGAATCTGAAGTAGTATTAAAAAAAAATTCCTGAATACCTCTTGTTCATATTATTCAATTGTTTCCATTTATGTGCTTGATTTTACAGAGTATACTTTCAGACTTAATGTTGAAGAAGGAGTAGGAATTCCCCAAATACCTGTACATCCCATTGGATATAATGATGCAGAAATACTATTACGGTATAGTTTCCTAGTTAGATATGTGATTAAGATATTTCAAATGAGAGTGTCAATTTTCTAATCAAAAACCAATATAATTATATTAAAGGTAAAGTAATTTTGGATGTAAGAATGATGGAACATACCACCTTAAAGTTTTTTTTAAATTTATTTATTTGAGAGGCAGAGAGAGAGGAAGACAGAATACATTCATGCACAGGCTGACTTCTCAAGCCAGGGACTAAACCCAAGTCTCCCATGTGGGTGGCAGAAACCCAATTACTTGAGTCATCACTGCTGTTCCTAGAATCTGCATTAGCAGGAGGCTGGCATCAGGAGCTATAGTGAAATATCCAGCTTAAGTACTCTGACTTGGGACATGATCATCTTACTGTCATCTTAACCACTAGGCTAAATGCCCACACCCATACAATTTTTTTTTATTCCACAGAAAATGAGAAGTGAGTTTAGTGACTAAGAAATAACACTGCAACATTGCTCTGTTGGCCACAAATGAAATGGTCAAATGTTCAAAGATAGAAATGAATACTAGTTTGAGATTTTTCAAGTGGTTGGATTTTCTTAGATATCCCTTAAATAAATATTTATACTTGGCCTATAATTCAAATTATGATAATGCCCAACAAGTACTAGATATGTGACCTGTACCAGTGGCTTTATCTTTCTTTAATCAGTTTCCTTATCTATAAAATGAAGATAGTAATTGTTTCTCCCCAATAGTGTGACTTTGACTTCAGATATGTGAAGTACTTAGTGCAGTATCTAGGATAGGGTGCACAACATTTTCTATTATTATTTTCTGTAACTGATGTTGCTTATTTAATCCCAACTTCCGTTTTTAAAATGTTTTGTTTTATATAAAGGGAACAAATTTCATGTTTTAATATACAGTTTTAAGAGCGTGATACTTCCCACTCTACTCTCTCTCATTCCTACACTCCCTCCTTGTGTCTGTTTTAGCACAGCTGAATAATTGCTCCAGTGAATGACTACAATGTTATCAGCAGCTTCTTTGCAAGTTAATTTCTCTCCCTTTACAGTCATGAATTAAGATTTCTTGCACCCAGTGGTTCCCCATATAAGTAATAAGGCCAAGAGCAAAAGGCTGTTTTTTTTTTTTTTAAGATTTATTTATTTATTTTAAAGGTAGAATCACAGAGAGAAAAGGAGAGACAGAGAGAGGTCTTCCATACACTAGTTCACTCGCCAGATGGCTGCAACAGCCAGGGCTGGGCCAGGCCAAAGCCAGGAGCCAGGAGCCAGGAGCTTCTTCCAGATCTCCCATGTGCATGCAGAAGCCCAAGTAGTTGGGCCATCCTCTGCTTCTTTCCCAGGCATGTTAGTAGGGAGCTGGATTAAAAGCAGTGCAGCTGATATTTGAACTGGCACCCATCTGGGATGCTGGCATTGCAGGCGACAGCTTTACCTGCTACACCACAACACTGTCCCCAAAAGGCTGGTTCTGTCCATCTTCCGTTACTGTTCTATTTTTTTTTCTCTCCTTAGCATGTATCACTAGCATGTTACATATTTATTTATCTCAGTTATAGCTCTGTTGCTAGAATGTAAGCCCCACAGGGAGGAGACTGTTTTTACAGAACCTTAATGAATGATCAATAAATATTTCTTAAATATATGAATGAAATATTATCTCATCTTCAAACGTCATGGTTTGTCCTTAGAAATTGTGATGCTCAGCCTTTTTCTGTTATTTTCATGTTCTCTTGACAGCTATTTGGGAGGAACTGCTCCACCAGATGAGAGCTGGAAGGGAACTCTTAATGTGGGTTACAGAATCGGGCCTGGATTTGTAGGCAGTGATTCTTTCAGGTAATGTATTATTTTAATAGCCTGGAAAAGTTTTATGTTTTAATGTAAAAATGTTAAGATAACTGTTCTGTGAGGTGTATTTTGCTTATCTCTTTCTCTGTTCCATTAGTGAACAACTGATTTTTTAAGATTAAAGCAATACTTAAAGTATTGGATTCTTCCAATAGTGATATCAATATTTGTTTCATAGGGTTTCAAAACATATTACATTTGAGTTACAGGTTTAACGCTTCAAGTAATTTTTTTTTTAGTTTCACCTTCACCAAAAGATTTTAAAACAATTTTCAAATTCTGTACGTGGAAACTCAAGATTAACTCAAAGAAGGGGTTAAAAAAGAAAGGCACCAACATTTAATGATCATTTACTGTGAGTTTCTAAGGCAAGCAGGAAATAAAGGTGGCAAGATCACCTTGTACAGAGCTGTAACAGCAGGGTCTGCTCAGAACCTTAAGGAATTGGATTTACCTGAAATGTAGGAGGAGAGGGAAATGTTAACACTGACACATCAGAAAAGATGTGGCTGTTTTTATTAAACTAGATTTATTAAATCACATTATTTCCTCACAATTTACTTTGACTAGATGGACTAAAACTCTTAGAATGTTTTTTAGTTTTTGTAGGAATATTTTTATTCCAATATATTTACACTATTAGAAGTTCACCTTTTTTACTATAAGAGAATTTTAGAAATATTTGATTTATGTCTTTACTTTCATAATTCAATCAGAATAGAGTTCATTTAATTTAAGAGCGTTTACTATCTATTTTATTTATACTCTCAAGAGGTAGGAAAATATAACATACACAGTGAAAGGTAATGGCCTTTCTGGTTTACAAATATAAAATTATACAAACAGAGAAAACATACAAGGTGTCCTCAGAAGGTTCATGGAAGATGCCCATTATGAAAAACTATGTGTGGATTTTTAAAATCTTTGCATCAAAATATTTCAGTTCCAATTTCCATGAATTTTTAAAGCTATCTTCAAAAAACTTTTTTTTATTTATTTATGTATTTTGGAATGCCAGAGGTACATATATCTTCCATCCACTGGTTCACTCCTCAATGTCCACAAAAGCTGAGGCTGGGCATGGCTGTAACAAGAAGCTGAGAATTCAGTCCAAGTCTATGAATGGGTGGCAGGGACCCAAGTACTTGAGTTATCACATGCCAACACCCAGAGTAGGTGTTAGCAGAAAGCAGAAATGGAGAGTGTAGGCACAACTCTAATCCAGGCTCTCTGATATAGGATGAGGGTGTCCCAAGGGGCAGCTGAAACATTGCCCCAAATGCCTGCCCCTACAAACTTTTTGGGAGTGACCGTCATTAGCTTCAGTTCTATGATTTCAGTCACAGTGCAAGGAAAACTCAGGAATATAAAAATTCCAATGTCAGGGCCTGTGTTATGGCATAACTGGTAAAACTGCCACCTGTAGTACCAGCATCCTATATGGGCTCTGGTTTAAGGCCTGGCTGTTCTACTTCTGATCCAGCTCTCTGCTGTGGCCTGGGAAAGCAGTGGAAGATGATCCAAGTGCTTGGGTCCCTTAACCCGCATGGGAGACTCAGAGGAAGCTGCTGAGCTTCTTCTGGGTGTCCTTTGTGGGTGCAGGGACCCAAGGACTTGGGCCATCCTCAGCTGCTTTCCCAGACACATTAGCAGGGAGCTGAAATGGAAGTGGAGCAGCCAGAACTCACCAGCACTCATAGGGATGCTGGTCCTCCAGGCCGGGACATTAATCCGCTGTACCACAACACAGGCCCCTCATTGTCATTCTTAAAGTCATCACCCAGACATTTCTTTAACAAGGTCCATTCATACTGGTACTTCCATCATCTGGCAAAAAGCACCTGAACAGCCAGAATTAATGTAAAGACACACATCCAAATAATAGGACTGTGCTTTTCCTTTTGTTACATAATAGGCTGTCTTACTTATTTTGTAAATAACTATTTGAAAATTTTAGAATGAATAACCCAGGTATTTTGAAAAACAGAATATTTTGAATTACTAATAAATATCAAAAATAGACTATCAAGGAAAAAGAACGTAAAACATTCATCTTATTTAAAAATTTAATTTCAAGCATCTGCTTAAGTATGCAAGAGTAAATTATTGTGACGTCTGTAACTGCCTTACAAGTGGTTCAATAGTGTTGACAATTATTGCACTTATGGTAAGTATATGACAGTTTATCATCCAAAGTACAGTTTTCCATAGTTTTGATATTTTTTCACAATAAGATATTGAAATGTAGACATAATGCCCTATCCAAACTAATTTATTCCTTCTGGAATTTTAGGAAGGTTAGAATGCATGTTCACAACATCAATAAAATTACAAGAATTTACAATGTCATTGGAACTATCACAGGATCTGTGGAACCTGGTGAGTCTTTGAACTTTTTAAAAACATTTGGTTTTTACAGATATTAAAGGGTAACAGATGATAAATTTCAGACATGACTGATTTTTTTTCTGGTTGATTTGAAACTATTAAATTTTGGGAAGAAAGTATACAACTCTGAAGGGATGTTTTTACTTTATCTTTTTTTAACATTTTATTTATTTATTTGAGAGGTAGAGTCACAGACAATGAGAGGAAGAGATAGAGACAAAGGTCATCCTTCCATTGGTTCACTCCCCAAATGGCTGCAATGGCCAGAGCTGTGCCAATCCGAAGCCAGGAGGCAGGAGCTTCTTGCAGGTCTCCCATGCAGGTGCAGGGGCCCAAGCACCTGGGCCATCTTCCACTGCTTTCCCAGGCCATAGCAGAGAGCTAGACTGGAAGAGGAGCAGCTGGGACTAGAACCGGCGCCCACATGGGATGTCGGAGCCACAGGCGGAGGATTAACCTACTGTGCCATGGCACCAGCCCCAGGAATGTTTTTACTTTATAATGTTAATTTTTTCTATGGAAGAAATGGAAGGAGAAGAAAGTTTAATTTTAAAACACAAATTATGAATATTTAGAATGTGTTTAAAAAGTTGTAGTTTTTTTGAGCACATTGTCTTCTCCAGACAGGTATGTTATTCTGGGAGGTCACCGGGACTCCTGGGTGTTTGGAGGTATTGACCCAACCAGTGGGACTGCTGTTTTGCAAGAAATTGCCCAGAGTTTTGGAAAACTGATAACTAAAGGTAAATAACATTCCTATGGTAGGTGATGTTAGAAAGTGACTGGCCTAATTTTCCTATATTTTTAGGCAGGTGTATCTAACCACATATGTTCATGATGATTACAGGTTGGAGGCCTAGAAGAACTATCATTTTTGCCAGCTGGGATGCAGAAGAATTTGGACTTCTGGGTTCCACAGAATGGGCTGAGGTAGGACAGACAGAAAAGGTTCCTATTCCCTTCTTGGTCAGCAGAGGAGAAGTATATATATCTCAGGATGATCACAAATAGATCCTATTGTCTGATGGAATCATAAGTTGGAGAATGATTCAAGAGAACTTAAGGAACACAGTTTGACTTTACATTTCCAGCAAAATTCAGTAAAATGTGCTTTTACACCTAGTTTGGCTAAATAGAATACCTTCTTGTTACTAGACCACAAATAAATATATTCATTCTTGTCAAGATCTTTGTTAGTTTCTATTTGAATTTTTTGGTGAAAAATAAATTGAATTGGCAAGCTCAAATATCCCCCAAAATTCCCAAATTAGGAAACTGTTTTAATCAACTGATCTAGGAAATGGTACAAATCCTTGGAGTTTATCTTCACATTTCTGATGATTCTGTGCAGTTTTTCCATCTGAAAAACAGCATAAGATATTCTATTAAGTTCACTATACTTTGATTATAATTTAACATTTAGATTCTGTATAAAATTGCAACCATAGGAAAATTTTACCATTCACAACAGATGTGTGCCTGATTGTTAATAAATTGACTTCCTTTGTAATTTCAGAGATGTTTCCTTTCCCTTTCGGATATAATTGTTTTCACTTGTCATGTGCTCTTAATTTTTTTTTTCTGTCTTTCTCCTAGACCTCCTTTCTTTCTTCTTCCCTTAGCCTCTCTGTTCAGTAATCTCTAAGTTCTTAAATGTATAAGGCAAGCTAATACATTGTTATAAAGGTAGGTACCCTGTGTAAGTACTTTCCCTTCACTATCTGCTGTTTATCATTTATGAGTTCAGATAAACATGGTGTATGTGTACTGGCATTATGTTTAGTTTTTAAAATGCTTCTCTCTTGATGCATTTCCTCTTTTGTTACTTTAAATTAAGAATAAAATAAATTGGTGATGGCGCCGTGGCTCACTTGGTTCATCTTCCACCTGTGGCACCGGCATCCCATATGGGCACAGGGTTCTAGTCCCGGTTGCTCCTCTTCCAGTCCCACTCTCTGCTGTGGCCCACGAGGGCAGTGGAAGATGGCCCAATTGCTTGGGCGCCTGCACCCACGTGGGAGACCAGGAAGAAGCACCTGGCTCCTGGCTTCAGATAGGTGCAGCACCGGCCATAGCAGCCATTTGGGGAGTGAACTAACGGAAGGAAGACCTTTCTCTCTGTCTCTCTCTCTCTCTCTCTCACTGCTTAACTCTGTCAAACAAATAAAAAATAATAATAATATAAATCAAACAAATGCAGGTGTACATTCATACATACACAGCCACTTCTCTGATATCACTTATCCTTTGTTCATTCCATTTACCTTACAAATTTTTATTATTTTTATTCTTAAATTGGTACCATGAATATACATTTTGGAAGTAGAACATCAATTTAAATGAATCAAATTTCATTTGTAAGGTCACTTAATATTGGAAATATATATATAATTTTTGTTATACACACACATACATACATCTATTTTTTAAAATTTCGGCAGATTAAAATAAAGATTTAAAAATCTGAGGTAAAAATAATAAACATGTTTTTCATTAATTTACATACATGTGCATTAAAAGATAATTTCAGTACTCTTTCTAGTTTTCTACTACCAGTTACCAGATTCTTTATTATATTTAGCTTCTTTATTTCCACTGTAAACCTATTATAATGTAAATTATGACCTTATATCTATCTAAAATGGAAACATCATGTTCACATCTGTGTGACTACTTTAGTCTATTTTTTTTGAGTCTGTATATTTGCGCACGTGTGTGTATGTGTGTGTGTGTGAGAGAGAGAGTCTTGGTTTTGTTCTAATCTGTCCCTCCTTTAATCCCTCTAATTTTCCCTGTCCTCTAATCCTCTTTACATCATTTTACTTCTTCACTTTTTGAATACATTTAGATCAGTGGAAATTTTCTATTTATCACCATTAAAATGATAACTTTATTTATTTATCCCCTCATAGTGGATCTCAAAGTTCAGTGTACATAAAGATTGATCACCAGGGACCTCTGTTAGATTTCTAAGCCTTACTATGAGCAATTCTGAATCAGTTATTTGGGGGCTGGCCCCAAAATCTGGGAACCTCATCTTTGCATATGCTGATGGAGAGAATCAAGGAGCCATATTTTTTTTTAAGATTCATTTATTTAATTGAAAGAGTTACACAGAGAGAGGAGAGGCAGAGAGAGAGAGAGAGAGAGAGAGAGAGAGAGAGAGAGGTGTCTTCCATCTGCTGGTTCATTTCCCAAATGGCCGCAAGGGCTGGAGCTGTGCTGATCGAAAGCCAGGAGCCAGGAGCCAGGAGCTTCTTCTGGGTCTCCCACGTGGGTGCAGGGACCCAAGGACTTGGGCCATCTTCTGCTGCTTTCCCAGGCCATAGCAGAGAGCTGGGCTGGAAGAGGAGCAGCCGGGTCTTGAACCAGCGCCCATATGGGATTCCGGCACCTCAGGCCAGGGAGTTAACCTATTGCACCACAGTGCCAGCCCCAAGGAGCCATATTTTGAAAATACTTGTTTTGAAACTCTCTATTATTCCTAAAAACTGTAGCCAATCTTTCATGATACTTTCTTAATTGCATTAATGTCAGTCAACAAGCTATAAGCATTTTTTTCAGAAATTGTAGTCACAGGTAGGTACAAGTATTTGATTCATGAGGGTACTTTCTATATACTTTTTCATAAAATTATTTTGTTTATATTTCACAATTGTAAATACTGTGAATGAAATAACAATTTTGCTTCAACTGTAGGAAAATGCAAAAATACTCCAGGAGAGAAGCATTGCTTATATCAACTCAGATTCATCTATAGAAGGTAACTTACATTTTAATTTAAAATAAATTCTCAAAAGTTAAATTTTGTTTCAGGGTGGACATTGGGCATAGTGATTAAGACACTGTGTGGGACACCTGCACCCAATATCAGAGCAACTGGGTTTGAGTCCCAGCTCCACTCTTGATTTTAGCTTCATGTTAATGCACACCCTTGGTAGAAGCAGGTGCTGGCTCAAATCAAGTGGGACAACCAAATTGATTTCCCAGCTTCTGACTTTGGCCTGGCCCAGCTCCCACTGTTGCAGGCATTTGAGTTGTGAACCACAGATAGATCTCTTTGCTTCCTGTCTGTCTGTGAGCACACACTCTGTCTGCCTTTCAAATAAATAAAATAAATAGAAAACTGTAAAGAATTTTTATTTTATGTGACTTTTAGTTATTAATCTGTTATGTTTTATTATTTTATATATATATGACATATGAAGACTTAAATTGAGCAAGAAATATACCACTTTTGGTAACTTTGAAATAATCCTACAATTGAATGTCATTGAAATAATCCTAGAATTGAAAACTTGGGACTTAATTGATTAAGGTGGTTAATATCCTTTTAGCCTGTAAATGACAAAAGATTAACTGTCTCAGATATCCTTGGCAATAATTTTCCATTTTAGCACAGAGAAAATAATTAAGTTCATATGAAGCCAAAACATTGTGGCAAAAAAAAAAAATGACCTAAATGAAAGATTTCTGAGAGTGAGATCCCAGTGGAAAGAATGGGCCGTCAAAGAAAGCAGTACCTTTCTCTGAAGGGAGGAGAGAACTTCTACTTTGACTATGGCCTTGTCTAAATAAGATCGGAGTTGGTGAACTCAAGAGGCTTCCATAGCCTTGGCAGCTCATGACAAGAGCCTCGGGTGATTATTGACATCATAAATAGGAGTGTCAGTTGTTAAATCAACAACGGGAGTCACTGTGCACTTACTCCCCATGTAGGACCTCTGCCCTTAATGTGTTGTACTATGCGAATTAATGGTAAAACTACTTACTCAAACAGTACTCTATACTTTGTGTGTCTTTGTGGGTGCAGTTTGTTGAAATCTTTGCTTAGTATATGCTAAGTTGATCTTCTGTATATAAAGATAATTGAAAATGAATCGTGATGAAGAATGGGATGGGAGAGGGAGTGGGAGATGGGATGGTTGCGGGTGGGAGGGAGGTTATGGGGGGAAAAGCTGCTATAATTCAAAAGTTGTACTTTGGAAATTTATATTTATTAAATAAAAGTTGAAAAAATTTTAAAAATTACATTCATATGAATCAATGTGATTCATAACTAAGCCATGAGTTCATGTTGCTAGTGATTTTTTTGGTATGCTCACTATTTAAAACTCCAGTATTAACCACATTCTTTCTATGGAGATGTTAAATAAATTTGCTAAAATATTTCAGAAGAAGTATTTCACAGAATATGTCATACAGAAATATTTCCTGTTTTTATTGGAATGAATTTGAAATAAACTCAAACTACAAACTTCCTTTTGAGTCTGATATACGACCTTTGTGTCTCTAGACTTTCATTGCATTGCAATTATATCTAGATAAATATCAGAACATAGTTACATGACATATTCATGTGTGATGTATTACCATGTACTATTGAAATGAATGAAAGAATAAGGAAGGAATGTGGCAGCCTTACCACTTCCTTTGCCAAAGTCCACTTAAGAGCTTCTGTGTTTAAGAGGACCTTATAATCACTATGAGAGCTGCTGTCTTAGCAACTAGAATCTGCCTGGACCACCTTCTGTGCAAAATATGTGCTACAGTCTATCAACTGAAGAACCATTCCCATCCTGTTTTGGTCCTTGGGAATGGTGGCTTCAGTTTGAAGACTATTAGATCTTGTTGAAAATTAGAAAGCAAATTAGAATTAAATATAGTTGGTATTTCATCTGGAAGTGTGTAACAATACTCTTTATGTTTTATTTATTTTCAGGAAATTATACTCTAAGAGTTGACTGTACACCCCTTCTTTACCAATTGGTGTATAAACTGACAAAAGAGGTATATAAAGACACCTATCTTAATATGTTCTTTGATGTATAGATAAATGAATAACATTTTCTTACCCACTTATTCAATGGCACTTATTTTGAAACTAGTGACAGAATCTAACTATATAAATAACAAGTAAAAACCAAACCTTTAATGCACTGTTTACATATGTTACATAATTATGAAGATAGTATCATCAGTCTCATTGTTCTAGCAATAGTGCTTATTAATAATTGTAGTACATGTAGCTATAATATATAGGGTATATAATGTTAACCTGACAGAGGTACTTTGATGTAGTGGAAGGAACACTGAACTGGAATAAAAAAGCCTTGAGTTCAAAGATTGCTTTGACTACTCATTTACTCAACAAATATTCATTGAGTCGTTACTATTTGTCAGGGCCTGTAAAATGAATTCTAGCTGCAACAATGATAAAAGGACAAGGTCATTGAATCCAAATATTTTTTAATCTAGGGGAAAGTGGAGAATTACAACTTGCTAAAGCAATTGCCACTATATGCAATTATATATAACAGTTATGGAATAGAGAATCTAAAATCTCAGGATATCCAGGGGAAGTTGGAAAGCATAAGTGGATAACAGGATAATTAATACTCAGACTATCAAATGGAAGGATGTATAAGGGAAAGTTCATTCTAAGAAGAAAAAACAGAAGAAATAAAAGAACATATTTCCTGACTAGAATGTAGCTCAGATGGCCTAAGTGTAAGATCTGGAAAATATTATAAGAGAAAGGGTATGAAATAGGCCATGGAGTTTAGGAATCTGATGATAGAGAAATTATGAAAAAAAATTAATTAATTATTTGAAAGGTAGTGCAACAGAGAGAGAGCGAGCTCTTCCATTTGCTAGTTCAATAATCAAGTGGCCACAACTGCCAGGTCTGGGCCAAGCCAAAATCAGGAGCAAACAGCTCCATCCCTGTCTGCCACGTGGATGGCAGGGGCTCACATACTTGGGTTATCTTCTGCTGCCTTCCCAGAAACATTAGCAGGGATCTGGATTGGAAGTGGAACTGCTGGGACTAGAACCAGCACTCTGATGTGGGATGCAGCCATTGAAAGCTGCAGCTTAACCTGCTACTCCACAACACTGGCCCTGATTATGAAAGAACTTAAAACAAGGTTGTTAACTAGTGTAAGTCAAAGTAGTGAAAAGATTAAATAGTATTAAGTCTAAAGTCAAAATGGAAATCATTCTGCATGTTTGCTTTTCCATAGGAATTTTAAATGCTATAAATGTAACAATATGCTGAAAAACTAGGGCATACTGAATCTCTAGAAATTACATAATCTGCTCTTTTAATATCTATATACTTAATTTAGTCATCTGCTATAGAATTTACTTACATAAATGTTTGCTTCTAAGCCTGTGTTAGACAATAGTGTAAAGAAGGTATCACTTTTCTCTAGGTACTATTTCCTAATCTCCCTTATTCTTGCTCCTTCCTTTTTGTTGCTAATTATTTCTTTTTTTAAAGATTTATGTATTTATTTATTTATTTGGAAGTCAGAGGTACACAGAGAGAGGAGAGGCAGAGGGAGAGAAAGAGGCAGAGAGAGAGGGCTTCCATCTGCTGCTTCACTCCCCAGTTGGCCGCAATGGCCAGAGCTGTGCCCATCCGAAGCTAGGAGCCAGGAGCTTCTTCTGAGTCTCCCACATGGGTGCAGGGTCCCAAGGTCTTAGGCCATCTTCCACTGCTTTCCCAGGCCATAGCAGAGAGCTGGACTGGAAGTACAGCAGCTGGGACTCGAACTGGCACCCATATGGGATGTCGGCACTGCAGGCGGCGGCTTTGCTTGCTATGCCACAGTGCTGGCCCCGCTAATTATCTTTAAAAACTAAGCAAAAGTGGTCTCATTATCCTCATCAAAACACTCTCACCATCTTCAGTAGTTTACATCCTGTATTCTTTCATTAGAATATCCCATAAAATCATCTTATATAAAAATCAATCCGTAAGAAAAACCCTTTTTGGGAGACCACTTTTCAGGATCTGCATTTACTAACTGTGTTGTCCTAGAGAGGTTGCAAAGAGCAGCCTTTGATGTCAGATATAAGAATTTGAGGGCTGATAAGGGAGAGAGATTTGTGTCTCTTTGTACAAAGGCAAATGTTTATCTGTGGCCATACCAGGATCAGAGAACAAAACTTTTTACTTTCCTACAAACTGATTATTAACAGTTTTTTCAACCCTAAGTAGGTCAAACCATATTGGCAACACTGGGGAGGGTAGGAGTGAGGGAATGGGCTTAGATTTAAGATCAGCTGTCTGATGGAGCAAGAAGCAGAGCAAAGTATTAACACATCAGAGATTGTCTGCTAACTTTGACAATGCATTTAGTGATGGCGGGTAAGACTGCTGTAAACTGTGCAGGCGAAAGGGAAGCAGTTCTGGGTAGGACTAGACTGACATAGTATGATTCCAGTAAATGAGGAAGGTTTTTCTGGGAATTCAATCCGACCTTGATGTTTAAACTGGAGTATAATCTCAGCCACTGCAAATCAGCAAGAACAGAGAAGAGAGTAGAACCAAGACAGCTGGCTTGAGATGAATAGACCATCTCTGTAGCTACAATATGTTGGTGAGGATGGGAATATCCCTGTGGGGTGGCTTTTTCTAAGAGACTTTTTCTAAGCTGTGGACTTCATACATCATGGCGAAGTACCATCTCATCCACTCTAAGCAACAGGACAAGTTATTGCTCCCCAGCCCTGCCATCACTGTGGCAGGAGGTGGAGTCGCCACTTTTACCTTTTACTTAAAATCTATTGAGGGCCTGTGTTATCAATAAGCACAACAGTTTTGTGCATATGAATAAATAGGCTGAGACTGAAACAGGGCAAGTTGAAAACATGTGCTAACACCTAACACCTTGGCTAGAGTCCAGTCTGAAATTTCACTGCCATTTTCTAAAAAAAGGCCTTTTCTGAGGACGCATCTTTTTGTCATTCCTATCTGCATCTCTTTATAACAATTTTCTCTTTTGTTTTGAATTGCTTATCATAATTGGGTATTACATATTTATTTGTCTGGTGTGTGCATCCCCAATGATATTATATTATGAGATCCAAGGGGATGGAAATTACATTATTTCCCTCACATTTATATTGATTTCAACACCAATAGACATTTTTAGAATTTTTTTATGAATAGGGGAACAGAATTGGGAATAACTCTGTATAAAGGTCAGAGAACATATAAGAGGGTATTATGCTAAGATTAATACAGGTACCATTATCCTTATCTTCACAGGTAAGAAAACTAAGGTCCAAAGAGGGGAAACAATACACTAAACTGATTTTAGAGTTCCACACGTGGAGTTGACTTGGGTCTTTTTGTAAACAAAGCAGAGCTATAGGCAAAGAAATAAAATATAGCCAATAATATGATAGTCTCGAACTAAAATTGACCTTTTTGACATCGCAATCCAAGTATGACCACCACATGGCCCTGCTTTTCTCAGAGTAGAGAAAAACAAGGAAAGTATATGTTTGTAAATACACTTAAAAATATTTATTTATTTATTTGAAAGGCAGAGGGGGCGGCACTGTGGCATAGCGGGTAAAGCTGTTACCTGCTGTGCCGGCATCCCTTATGGACGTCGGTTCGAGTCCCAGCTGCTCCACATCCAATCCAGCTCTCTACTATGGCCTGGGAAAGCAGTGGAAGATGATACAAGTCCTTGGGACCCTGCACCCACATGGGAGACCCAGAAGAAGCTCCTGGCTCCTGGCTTCAGATTGGCGCAGCTCCGGCCGTTGCAGCCAACTGGGGAGTGAACTGGAGGATGGAAGACCTCTCTCTCTCTGCCTCTCCTTCTCTCTGTGTAACTCTTTCAAATAAATAAATAAATATTTTAAAAGAAAGAAAGAAAGAAAGAAAGAGAGAGAGAGAGAGAAAGAGAGAGAAAGAGAGAAAGAGAGAGAAAGAAAGAAAGAAAGAAAGAAAGAAAGAAAGAAAGAAAGAAAGAAAGAAAGAAAGAAAGAAAGACAGGCAAAGTCACAGCAGAGAGGAGATAGAGATCTGCCATCTGCTGGTTCACTCCCCAAATGGCTGCAACAGCCTCAGCTAGGCCAGGCAGAAGTCAGGGGCAGGAGCTTCATCCAGATTTTCCACATGGGTGCAGGGGTCCTGCTGCTCCTCCACATGCGGAGGAGCCGCACCGGACCGGGCGCTTGTTGTTCCCTTTTTTTACAAGTCCTTTCTATAGTAAAGTAAGAATAAGTAAACAGCAAACTCCCAAAGCAAGAATGAGTAGAGAGAAATGAGAAAGAACGAAGTAACGAACTTCCCCGCGAACTCTCCAACGCACTCTCCAACCAACCCACACCACCATGCCGTCTCTCTCCTCCTATATAGTCCTCCTCCGCCAATCCCAACTCGGCTGCCCACACGCCGAGCACGCCGCTCTCCTCCAATCAGGAGCAAGTCCTGCAGTTTATTGGCTGAACTGGAGGCAGCTGTGTAGAAGCTGTTTTCTTCTCTCCCAGCGCCATATTGTGGGAGAGCAGATGCATAGAATAAGTCTTAATTCCAGTAACTTAGTCTAGTCCGAGTTGCTCCCCACAGGTCCCAAAATTTGGGCCATCTTCTACTGCTTCCCCAGGAGCATTACCAGGAAGTTGGGTTGGAAGTGGAGCACTCGGAACTTGATTTGGCACCCATATGAGATGACGGCACTGCAGGCAGAGACTCAACCTTCCATAGTACTAGTGATTACATTTAACCAACACATGGGGCAACATTGTGGCATGGTGGGTTAAGCAGCGGCCACCTGCTAAGCCTGCATCCTATATCAAAGTACCTGATATGGGGTCCTGCCTTCACTTCTGATACAACTTGCTGCTAATGCAGATCCTGGGAGGCAGCAGATAATAAAATAATTGAAATAATAAACTGAAGTGCTTAAATCCCTAATACCCACATGGGAGGCTCAGATGAGTTTCCTGGCTCCTAGCTTCAGCCTGGCCCAGCCCCTGGCCGTTGTGGCCATTTGGTAAGTGAACTAATGGATAGCAAATCTCTCTTTTTCTTGCCCTACTCAAATAAATATAAATAAATTAATAAGCTTTACATTTCTAAAACATGAATTTTGGGGGACATATTCAAACCACAGCAAAGACAATAAGCATACATACTCTTAAATTCTCAAGTAGAAATCTGAGGTTATGTGGAATTTTTATATCATAAAATTTCAAATTTATTTAAATGTAATAAAGTTTTCTAAAATAATAGGCTCTTCCCCCACTCCTTCTGTTTGTCCAGTAAAACAAGGATTTTTTTGAACAATTTCAAGCTCAGCTTCTTATCCAGTATCACCTATGCTATTCTGAGGCCTTCTGTGGTTCTTAGAGAAAAGGAATTTTCTAAAAGAAATAATATATCCCAAGTTTTCCCCAATGTCGTCCCACTACAATAAACATAAGCTTCCAACACTAAAGAAATATTTGTGAAAAAAATGAAACTATTAAAATGTTTATGAAAATAAGCCAAAATTCTCTTAGGCGCTTGACTAAATTACCAGTAATAGGCATCATACATGAAAATGATATTGTGCTAGATTTTTTTCTTGCCATTTGCAAAAGCACATTTTTTTTCTATAAACAGCCTGATAAGTATATGTATCTACAGTAAACTGATGACAACAAATATATGGTTTTGTATGGGCATATTTAGTTGCTTCTACTCCTAATTCTCAGTGTTTGATTTGTCTTCCCAGATCTCTAGCCCTGATGATGGTTTTGAGAGTAAATCTCTTTATGAAAGCTGGTTGGAAAAAGACCCTTCACCTGAAAATAAAGATTTTCCCAGGTAAATTACTTATATGTATCTTTAAAAAAAATATTTATTTGAAGGCAGAGTTAGAGCGAGAGAGAAATCTTCCATCTGCTAGTCCACTACCAAAATGGCCACAATGGCCAGGGCTAGGCCAGGATGAAGCCAGGGGCCCCGCTGTTTTCCCAGGTGCACTGGCAAGTGGATCAGGACTTGAAGCACTACCTATATAGGATGCTGCTGCTGCAGGCCACAGTGAACCTGCTGCACCACAGTGCAGGCCCATATTATGCATCCTTTCTACCAGAGGATAATTATCAATTCCCTTTTGCCCTTTGTGTCTCCAGATATGGAAATTCTCAGTTGTCTCATCAATGATTTGAGCAAAGACAACAAAGGAATTCTGTCCAGCTTTTTGTTTTGCTGATTAACACAACCATATCTTTTAATCTACAACAGAACCTAGATGTAGTTTTGCAAATTTTTAGTCAGAGTGATTGTTACATTGTTAGTCATTATTTTACTAACTCTTGCATAAAATTTCTTTAGATTTGTAGTAGATGCATTAAGGAATAGAATAGGGGCTGGTGCTGTGGTATAAAAGGTTAAGCCTCCACCTGCAGTGCCATTGTGTCCATTTGGGGAGTGGATCAGCCGATGCAAGCTCTCTCTCTCTCTCTCTCTCTCTCTGACTCTGCCTTTCAGATAAGTAAATAAATCTTAAAAAAAAAAAAAAAGAAATAAAATAACTTCAAATGATAATGGTGAAGTAGGGGCCGGCGCTGTGGCACAATAGGTTGAGCCTCTGCCTGCAGCGCCGGCATTCCATATGGGCAGCGGTTTGAGTTGATGCTGCTCCACTTCCTGTCCAGCTCCCTGCTAATGCTCCTGGGAAAGCAGCAGAAAATGACCCAAGTGCTTGGGCCCCTGCACCCACATGGGAGATCTGGAAGAAGCTCCTGGGTCTTGCTCTAGTCACTGCAGCCATTTGGGGGAGTGAACTAGTGGATGGAAGACTCTTTCTGTCTCTCTGTTTCTCTGTCTGTACCTCTGCCAATTAAATAAATAAATAAACAGTAAAAAAGATAAAGGTGAAGTAAAAAAATGGATTATTTGCTTCTAAATGTATTATCAGTTACTACAAAATTGTGTATTTTTATTTATCTATAATGCAATTAGATTTTTTTTAATTTTTTTTATTTTTCTTTTTTTAAATTTTATTCAAGGTATACAAATTTAATGTATTTCATATATACAGATTCAAGAACATAGTGAGAATTTCTACCCTACCCACCCTCGCACTCATGCTTCCACCCTTCTTCCTCTTCTCTCTCCTATTCCAATTCTTATTTTTCTTTTTTTAATTTTATTTAATGAATATACGTTTCCAAAGTACGAATAATGGATTACTATGGCTTCCCCCCCATACCGTCCCTCCCACCCACAACCCTCCCCTTTCCCACTCCCTCTCCCCTTCCATTCACATCAAGATTCATTTTCGATTATCTTAATATACAGAAGATCAGCTTAGTATACATTAAGTAAGGATTTCAACAGTTTGCTCCCACACAGAAACATAAAGTGAAAAATAATAGATGATTTTTTTTAATGATGATGAAATCAGATCAGACCTATTGTCATGTTTAATCCCAGTGAGAGTCAAGTTGGGAGTGATAGTTCGTTTCTTTACGTTTGCGTTTATTTTTTCATTCTTCACAGAGGATCAGTTAGTATGCATTAAGTAAGCATTAAGTAAAGATTTCAACAGTTTGCACCCCCATAGAAACACAAAGTGAAATATATTATTTGAGTACTCGTTATAGCATTAAATCTCAATGCACAGCACATTAAGGACAGAGATCCTACATGAGGAGTAAGTGCACAGTGACTCCTGTTGTTGACTTTACCAATTGACACTCCTGTCTATGGCATCAGTAATCTCCCTATGCTCCAGTCATGAGTTTCCAAGGCTATGGAAGCCCCTTGAGTTCTCCGACTCTTATCTTGTTTAGACAAGGTCATAGTCAAAGTGGAGGTTCTCTCCTCCCTTCAGAGAAAGGTACCTCCTTCTTTGAAGACCTGTTCTTTCCACTGAGATCTCACTCACAGAGATCTTTTGCCAGAGTGTCTTGGCTTTCCATGCCTGAAATACTCTCATGGGCTTTTCAGCCAGATCTGAATGGCTTTAGGGCTGATTCTGAGGCCAGAGTGCTGTTTAGGACATCTGCCATTCTATGAGTCTGCTGAGTATCTCACTTCCCATGTTGGATCACTCTCCCCTTTATTTATTCTATCGGTTAGTGTTAGCAGGTACTAGACTTGCTTATGTGCTCCCTTTGACTCTTAGTCCTTTCATTATGATCAATTGCGAACTGAAATTGATCACTTGGACTAGTGAGATGGCATTGGTACATGCCACCTTGATGGGATTAAATTGGAGTCCCCTGGTATGTTTCTAACTCTACCATTTGGGGCAAGTCAGCTTGAGCATGTCCCAAATTATATATCTCTTCCCTCTCTTATTCCTACTCTTATGTTTAACAGGGATCACATTTCAGTTAAATTTCAACACTTAAGAATAACTGTGTATTAATTACAGAATTAAATCAGTCATATAAATAAATCTTTAAAAATAATAGCATTATAGTAGAAAATAAATGAATATAAAGTAAATTCAAGGAAGCTGCTCTAGCATGAATAAGGACAGAAAAATATTTATATAAAATCTAATTGCCCTCTAAACAAAAACCACAAATGCTGAAAACATGGAAGAAAGCACCGACATCAGGCTGCATTCTTTGGTTGCACTGCCCTACTCTGGTTGTATTCAAATTTGCAGTTTGTTTGCAGATTTGTAGGTTTATCACAGCAACTTTCCAGTGTATGAAAACAAAGTGTATTGAGGGCAGTTAACTTTTTTCTAATCGTTATAAATGTACTCTGTAATTCCTTGCTATTCCTGGCACAGGATTTATTGCTCATCTACTTACTTTGTATTATTTATTTGTATATGTGTATGTGTTCATATGTATTTGTTTATATTCTACTTCTAGAATCAATAAGCTGGGATCTGGAAGTGATTTTGAAGCTTATTTTCAGAGACTTGGAATTGCTTCAGGTAGAGCTCGTTACACTAAGAATAGGGTAAGCCATATTAGCTTTTTTCTGATCTCATAATATATTATAACTTGAATATTTAATGTTTGTTTATGATTGTACTCTTCCCACAATTTTTTTTTTAGAAAACAGATAAGTACAGCAGCTACCCAGTATACCACACAATTTATGAGACATTTGAATTGGTAGAGAATTTTTATGATCCCACATTTAAAAAACAGCTTTCTGTGGCTCAGTTACGAGGATCATTGGTTTACGAGCTTGCAGACTCTACAATCATTCCTTTCAATATTCAAGACTATGCAAAAGCTTTGAAAAACTATGCAACAAGTATCTATAATTTATCCAAGAAACATGACCAACAATTGAAAGAATATGGAGTATCATTTGGTAAGAAACAGTTATGCAGATATTTTATAATCTTTAAGGTAGAGCTTTAAGATATCATCTCCTATTATGATCAATAGATTCATATTTCATCCTTTATCTTTGTGAAGCTTACTAATTATGACTTCTAGACAAATATTCCAAACACCTATTAAAGAACCTGATTTAATCTGAATTGTCTGGGGTTAATTCACTATGACTGATTTAGTGCCATAAATACTGGATTGGTAAATGTGTTTCCTCTTATTACCTTTTTAAAAAAAAATTTAAAGATTTATTTATTTATTCAAAAGTCAGAGATGCAGAGAGAGAGGAGAGGCAGAGAGAGAGACAGAGAGGGGTTTTCCATCCGATGATTCACTCCCCAGATGGCTGCAATGGCCGGAGCTGCACCTATCTGAAGCCAGGAGCTTCTTCCAGGTCTCCCACATGGGTGCAGGGGCCCAAGGACTTGGGCCATCCTCCACTGCTATCCCAGGCCACATCAGAGAACTGGATCGGAAGAGAAGCAGATAGGACTAGAACTTGCGCCCATATGGGGTGCCAGGTTGTCACCTGCTGCGCCACAGTGCGGGCCCTCCTCTTATTACCTTTAAAAATGTTTTTGCTGGGTTGGCGCTGTGGCTCACTTGGTTAATCCTCTGCCTGTGGTGCCAGCATCCCATATGGGCGCCGGGTTCTAGTCCTGCTTGCTCTTCTTCACTCCTTGTTAAAGTAGGAGTGAAATATGATAGCATTGGATGTTGAATCTGGAAGTGATACCGTCCTGCTTTTTAGTAATTCCCAATATTAATAAGCCTATGGGCTCCTGTCACGTATTCAGAGAATTCTGAATACTGGCTCAAATAGACCAGACAACGTGGTACGTTTTTAAGCTTTTTATTCAGTGATAGAAATGCACAGGAGAGTGAGGGCTTTATTTAAGGGAGAAAGAGAAGTCTATAAATTAAGTTGGGTCCATACCAAACAGAGAGCGGGCCAAGAGCAAGCCACGTGCAGCAAGCATGCAGGCAGGAACGCAGGGAGCAGATGCCCCCAAAGCGCGGGGCAGCAAGGGCATCAAGCCCAGCAATGGCAATAAAGGAGGGGCCCACCGTGTTCCAGGCCTTTTAGCTACTTCCAAAGGGGAGTGGTTATGTAGCCTGATTGGCAGGTGGGCATACAGATGGGATCAGGTAGGGGCGTGAGATCACCTAGGGGCGTGGTGAAGGTGTGGTCTTCCAGCTCACAAATCTAATTGATTGTATCCCATTGCCTTCATCAGAAGCAGTTTATCAGCTTCTGAAATTGGCTATACTATGTTGACTGTGTAACCTTAGGAAAGTTACCTAATCTCTGTGTGTCAGCTTTAAATGAAATAATAACAAATTAAAAAAATACATTTTCAGATATTGTTACTGAGATCCAGTTAGCTATTACATGGAAGCACTGGTGACTGGCACATAGTGCTAAGTATTACCTACTTTTTTTTTTTTTTTTCTGACAGGCAGAGTGGACAGTGAAAGAGAGAGACAGAGAGAAAGGTCTTCCTTTTTGCCGTTGGTTCACCCTCCAATGGCCGCCGCGGCCGACGCGCTGTGGCCGGCGCACAGCTCTGATTCGAAGGCAGGAGCCAGGTGTTTCTCCTGGTCTCCCATGGGGTGCAGGGCCCAAGCACTTGGGCCATCCTCCACTGCACTCCCTGGCCACAGCAGAGAGCTGGCCTGGAAGAGGGGCAACCAGGACAGAATCCGGCGCCCCGACCGGGACTAGAACCCGGTGTGCCAGCGCCACTAGGTGGAGGATTAGCCTATTGAGCCGCGGCGCCGGCCTCTTTTTTAAAATCTGTATCTGTGCTTGTATATGAGTAAATACCCTCATATCTTTTCTATCTTAGAAAAATCAATATTCCTTCTTTCTAATGTGCCCCATTGCCTTCTTAATCAAAAATCGTCATACAGCATATGGCAAAATCAGTTCTTGAGACATTTGGTTTTGAAGATTTATTTGAAAGGGAGAGTGACACAGAGAAAGAGATCTTCCATATGCTAGTTCATGGAAGCTCTGTCCCGCTCTCTGTTTCTCTGTCTCTCCTCTCCCACCTCCTGTCTATAACTTTGCCTTTTAAATAAATACATAAATCTTTTTTTAAAAAAGACAAAAACTGCTCTGTATGTATCAGTATCAGTAAATGTATCATTCTGGATACATTAGTTTGTCACAGGTTGATTTTTTTTTCTTTTAAAAGATTTATTTATTTGAAAGTCAGAGTTACACAGAGAGAGGAGAGGCAGAGAGAGAGGGGGGGGGGTCTTCCATCTGCTGGTTAACTCCCCAAATGGCTGCAACGGCTGGAGCTGTGCCCATCCGAAGCCAGGAGCCAGGAACTTCCAGGTCTCCCATGCAGGTGCAGGGGCTAAGACTTGGATCATCTTCCACTGCTTTCCCAGGCCATAGCAGAGAGCTGGACTGGAAGTGGAGAAGCCAGGACTCGAACTGACGTCTGTAAGGGATGCCGGCACTGCAAGAGGCGGCTTTACCTGCTATGCCATAGCGCCGGCTCCCACAGGTTGATTTTTGATCAAGATGTAAAATGCACTATTTGAAAATAAGAATTGGTTCTGGTTTCTCCTGTGATAACCCCCAGTGTTATAGCTTATTTATATCTATAGCCAATGTCTACAGATAATAATTGTCCCAATAAATACATATTGAACAAATGAATAAATAATAATTGCTGGTTTTCTGCTAAATTATGTGTTAAAGAATTATTTATATCCTAGACATTTGAAAACTATTTCCTTAAGGATCAATTTAGCTGTTCTTTATTTTCATACCATATTTCTTTGTGTGATTTTTCTCTAATACTTATCATGAATCTGTACAAGGCTTAGTATAAAGATGGTCTCAAATTCTTTTTAGTCATATCAGTCTGGAATGGAGAGGGCAGGAAAGTGAAGCTGTGAACTGTGAAGCACTTATGCTTATTAATTTACTTTTCTCTTTTCAAAAAAGACTCCTTATTTTCTGCTGTGAAAAACTTCTCGGAAGCTGCTTCAGACTTTCATAGAAGACTTACACAAGCTGATCTCACAAAGTAAGTTTAAGAAGTAGGTTCAGATGGCCACCTGAAAAGCAATCTGGTTACTGTTTTCATTCCTAGAAGCATCTGGCTCCAGATCATAGCTATTACATCATGTCTGCAAACCAGTGGCATCAGCATCAACTGAGAGCATGTCAGGAAGGCGGACTATCCAACCCCACCCAAGACATACTGAATTAGAACTGTGCATTTGCATTTTAACAAGACCCTCAAATGATTTACACTAGCATTAAAGTTTGAGGAGTGATGCTCTGAATAGTAAACTAAAAACTCATGTCAAGACAAGCATCAGAGATATATATTTTCGTGTTTGTGTGATGAGAATTCTGACTATGTCTATTAATGCATTTGTAATATATTTTATTCCTTCATGCTGTGCTTGTATCAATTTAGAAATTCTTTTTATTGATACTTTTTTTGTATTTCATATAAGTTCTTGCCACTTAAGGGTTGAAAATAATTTAAATGGCCATATTCAAATAAAACATTTTGTAGCAAGCATGGATTCCAATGTCCATGTCACATTCATTTTTTTCGAACTTAATCAGAATAAGCTCCTCCACCTTTCATATTGGCAAAAAGCACTATCAGTTGTTTGGATTAGCCTCTCTCTCTCTTGAATTGTAGAAGAGCCCAGGGAATTTATTCAGCTCCTCAAAAAGACAATCTGAAGATTTTGAATGAGAGAGAGAATTCTCCATCAAGGGTGTGCACATGCCTCTGGCTCTTCTTACCAACTTCCAAGACCCTCAATCACTTTGTTGTTTTTTTTCTTTTTTAATCAATATGTGGTCCCCCAAAAATAAACAATTTCCCAATAAATATTTCTGCTTATTTTAATTATTTATTTATTTGAGAGTTAGTTACAGACAGAGAGAGGTCTTCCCTCCATTGGTTCACTCCCCAAATGGCTGCCACGGCTGGAGCTGTGCCCATCCGAAGCCAGGAGCTAGGAGCTTCTTGCAGGTCTCCCACGTGGGTGCAGGGGCCCAAGGACATGGGCAATCTTCCACTGCTTTCCCAGGCCATAGCAGAGAGCTGGACTGGAAGTGGAGCAGCTGGGACTAGAACCGAGCCCATATGGGATACCGGTACCACAGGCAGAGGATTACTGCACCACGGTACTGACACCCTCTGCGTATTTTAAATACTAGAAAGATGACCTTGATATATTTAACTTACAATGTAAATCATTACTGTACTGATGTGTATTCTGTTAAAAATGCATTACTTTTAGAAGTTTATTTTCCCATGCTTTATCTTTAATATTACTTTAAAACATGGTTCCATAGTAAGAGTTACAATTATGTATTTCTTGTTCTCTAAGTCCCATTGCAGTGAGAATTATGAATGACCAATTGATGCTACTGGAAAGAGCATTCATTGATCCCCTTGGTTTACCAGGGAGGCGATTTTACAGGTAAGGAGAACACCAGTAACAAACACCAAATGCTTCACTATAACCAAAAACAGCATACCCAAAGTCTGTGTGAAGGTGGAAAGTGAAAATATATACTAAAGGTATATGGGTGACAGGATGCATCTAATAATATACTATGTAATATCCCTAAATAAATTTCATATTGTTTATTGAGTTGCTGTGTATGGAAATAGAAAATGATAGTGGAAAAGAATTTTTTTTAACAACCTCAAGTCATAGACTCTTGAAGGGATTATAGATCTTACCTAGTTCAAACTTCTATATGAATGCTTTTTATAGGATCTCAGATGGGAATCTTATGGTCTCATAAGAAAGTCTTTTTTTCTAATTTATTTTTTATTTATTTGAAAGACGGAATTACAGAGGTAGAGACAGAGAGGTCTTCCCTCTGCTGGTTCACTCGCCAGATGGCCACAATGGCCAGAGCTGTGCCCATCCGAAGCCAGGAGGCAGGAGCTTCCTCCGGGTCTCCCACGTGGGTGCAGGGGCCCAAGCACTTGGGCCATCTTCCACTGCTTTCCCAGGCCACAGCAGAGAACTGGATTGGAAGAGGAGCAGCCGGGACTAGAACCAGCGCCCAAATGGGATGCCAGCACCTCAGGCCAGGGCTTTAACCCGCTGTACCACAGCGCCAGCCCCAAGAAAGTCTATCTTATTTTAGGGAAAATATAATTAGAAAATTCATTTCATAAAGAGCAATTTCCTGCAGTTTCTCCTTCTGAACCCATTCTGTTCTCCAAAATCAAATAAACTCAGTCTAGCTCTCTTTATCCATAACATTTTAGGTTTTGAAGAGTGGCTGCCATGTTCTCCCAAAGAAATACTCAGTTTTTCTATCTGTACCCCCACATCATGTTTTCTTTCAAAATCTTATCTGCATGACCCTGATAGTCTTTTCTCAAGGTCTTTCTTATACAATGGTTCCTTGTGGGAAATTAGAAAAGCTTTAGCATTTAAGCCAGAAAATCTATGTTGTAGTTTACTTACAGATATGTGATTTAGTGTCACTTCTGTGGTCTTCCTGTATGAATTAATATGGCAATAGTGGCTATTTTGCAAGGCAGCTTGTCAACAAGTTACAATTAAAACACAGTTCCATTTGATACCTTTTAAAATAAATGTGATTAACATAAGCTTTTGGAAACCAGCTCTGCTGTATGGCCAATTATTTCTCTAGGCATCAGGTTCCTCAGCTCCAAGTGGGGATTCTAATTGTTTTGCTCTATAGACTGGTCGACTTAAGGCACATAAAGGATTTAGTGTGCAGTGTGATGTGCTCAGTAAATGGTAGCTCTTTTTATATGTTATCAGAGCATAATTGTTCATTTACTCATTGATTACAACTGAAAGTTATCTTTATATAAAAATATAAAGCAATATTATACAATTTTAGTGTTCTTTTAAGTTCATTAGGTTTTTTTTTTTATAATTTACAAGCAAATCATCTTGTTTTGTCCTATTAAAATTTATTTATTTGAAATTCAGAGTTTAAGAGAGAGGAGAGACATGGAGAAAGAGATCTTCCTTCAGCTGGTTCATTCCCCAGATGGCTACAGCGGGCAGGGCTGAGTCAGGCCAAAGCCAAGAGCCAGGAGCTTCATCTGGGTCTCCCAAATGAGTGGCAGGGGTCCAGACACTTGGGCCATTTTCTGCTGCTTTTCCCAGGCAATGAGCAGGGACCTGGATCAGAGGTGGAGCAGCCAGGACTTGTTGCAGGTGGCAGCCTTACCCAGTACCCCATAATACCGGCCCCAACATCTGTTTTTCAATGTAGGAATTTCAGACTCTGTGCAGTTACACGATACGAAAATGGACAAAGCCTCTTGAGAATTTTCTCTTGTGACTCATATCCAGTCACTTCTATTATTCTTTTCAAGGAAAAGTGTTTAATAGTGTTAAATTTTAAAGCATTTATATTTACATACACATATTATGTGTATATATTTAACATATCTAATCACTCATGTGTATTTAAAATTTACATATAACTTTATACATGTGTATTTGCATCTATGTATATATATATGTATATATTATGTATAGATTCATAAAGATCTAACTGAATCTCCACAACAATCTTTGAGATATAGGTTATGTTTTTTTTTCATTATTTCACTTATAGGAAAACTGACACTGCAAGATTAAGTAACTTTCCCAAGGATACACAGAGTAAACAGCAGCATCAGTGTCTGAGCCAGGCAACTGCTTCCAAACCCAATGCTCAGTGCTACTACGCAATGTTGTATTTCATCTTTACTTCATGGGAAATACTTGATGTAGAACAGCAACTATTAAACAGTCAGTTATAAAAGGAAATAGTGTTTGTCATTATGTAGAAATACTTTATGTAGATAATTATTTACATTATAACTCATCAATGATGTTCTGAGGGAAAGGCTGGGAAAAACAGGACTAGGGAGTGTCATTTGTATTCGGTAGTCTGCTATAGTAGTTACCTGTTGCAAAGCCAGAAATGTTCATTGTGGAAGCTGAGAATTATATCATGGTAGACTTGAAACTAACTAGACTAGGGATAGAATTATTATGGGGCTAGAATAGCTACTTGGGTTCACCATTCATTAAAGGGAATTTGAACTGCCTGAGCATTGCCCACTGATTGACCATTTCTTTTAGCTAACTGCCTATTCTTCCTTGAGGGAATTATGGAAAGGATTTAGGCTCAGAATAGCTAATATTCATTAAATGCTAAATGTCAAGCTATACTGACTGCTTTCCATCGTTTGATTCTTTGAGTATAGTAATAGTATCACCGTCATTTTTAAGATGAGGGAACAGGTAAAGGGAGGTTCAACAATCAGAACATGGTTACAAGGTAAATATAGCATTTTGATTTGAAAACACAGCCCAATCCCTGCTGCTGCCAGCATTTGGGGAATGAACCAGCAGATGGAAGAACTGTCACTCTGCCTTTCAAATAGAATCTTAAAAACTAAAAAGTCCCTCTCAAAAAAAGCAAACTTCCATACACTTATTGAGGAAAGTAACTGGATCTTTTGAACTAGTTATGTGATAAATAGGAAAGCAATAATAAACTTTCCTTCTAGGTGAGAAATTGAGTGTCTTTGTGGGCAAACCATATATAACTACTTTACCTTTGTGGAATGTGATTCATCATCCTATCATTTATATTTTTGGAATACTTTTTAATTCCTTCTTAATGTCTGAAAAGTATCAGGAACAACTGCCATGGCATTCTCTAAAAAAATGCAACAAAATTCTGCCTTCTCACTTATTATCTGTAAAGCAAACATGTTTATGGATGCCCAAGCAGTTCAACAACTGCTTCATACAACTTGTGTGAAAGTCAGTAGAAACAAATAACATAATGATAGGGTATATGGTGTAAAAAGGAAATGTGAAAAATATATATATATATAATCCATGAATATATATACATACATGTATTCAATTTACTTTTGTGTGTGGGCTTTTCTTCTAGGCACATCATCTTTGCTCCAAGTAGTCATAACAAATATGCTGGAGAATCATTTCCTGGGATCTATGATGCTATGTTTGACATTGAAAATAAAGCAGACCCTCATTTGGCCTGGACAGAAGTAAAAAAACATATTTCTATTGCATCTTTCACAATTCAAGCAGCAGCAGGAACTCTCAAAGAAGTATTATAAAAAGATCTTAGCCAAGTGGCTAGCCATTAAAGGTGTTGCTGAAGATAAAATTCATCATCTTTTTAATAACTCGTGAAGCCAGTGTTCAAAAATCTTGCTTTACATGTCACATTGACTTTAGATTTCTACCTTGTTCATCTGCAAAGAGCTTTTTGGCTCTTTAAATATTCATAACTGTATTACAAAAGTGTTGGTCTAACAAAACAAAAAGCCCCTGTTATGTGGCAGGAAAAAAAATAACAGAAATTTAACTAAAATTAATGACAAGGAATTTGAATTCTCAGAAATCACTAGTGGGAATGTAAAGTAGTATAACCATTTTAAATGCTGGAAAAGAGTTTGATAGCTTTTTTTTTTTGACAGGCAGAGTGGACAGTGAGAGAGACAGAAAGGTCTTCCTTTGCCATTGGTTCACCCTCCAATGGCCGCCATGGCCTGTGTGCTGTGGCTGGTGCGCTGCGGCCGGTGCACTTCACTGATCCGATGGCAGGAGCCAGGTGCTTCTCCTGGTCTCCCATGGGGTGCAGGGCCCAAGCACTTGGGCCATCCTCCACTGCACTCCCTGGGCACAGCAGAGAGCTGGCCTGGAAGAGGGGCAACAGGGACAGAATCCGGCGCCCCGACCGGGACTAGAACCCGGTGTGCCGGCGCCGCAAGGCGGAGGATTAGCCTAGTGAGCCGCGGCGCTGGCCCTTGATAGCTTCTTAAGTTAAATATGACTACAAAGTTCCAATTGTAGGTGTCTACTCAAGAAGGAAAAAAAACCTTCTTGACCATATGGTAGGAACAACCCAAATGTCCATCATCAGATAAATGAATAAACTGTGATATATCTGCAGTGGAATAATCATCAGCAATACCAATGAAATAACTGTCAATAGTTGCAATATTACTGGCAGCTGTGATTGAGGGAAAGAAGCCAGACACAAGTGAGTACATAGCATATAAATCTAGTTATACAAAGAAGTGGCACAACTATAGTATGCTGTTGGAACTTAGATCAGTGGCTGCCTAGACAGGTGGTCAGTGGAGGAGGATGACTGCAAAGAAGCTTGAGGAAACTTACTTTTTTTTTTGGTGCCTTAAGCTGAGTGGTGGATACACAGGCATATATTTGTAGAACCGGCTCATACTTAAAATGTATGTGTACGTTTTATTGCAGGAAAACTAGGCCCCAGTAAATCTGATTACAAAAGTCCATCTAAAAAACTGGAAGAGCACACTTTTAGAAAATGATGATGTAGTGTAAATGCTCAGAAGAAAAGTTCAATTGGGACAGGCATCTTGCGTAGTTTTAAGATGTCGGTTAAGATGTCTGTAATCTTCTATCACAGTGCCTGGGCTTGAGCTTCTGCCTTTTTTTTTTTTTTTTTTTTTTTTGACAGGTAGAGCTACAGACAGTGAGGGAGACAGAGAGAAAGGTCTTCTTTCCCTTGGTTCAGCCCCCAAGTGGCTGCCAAGGCCAGCGCTGTGCCAATCCAAAGCCAGAAGCCAGGCACCTCCTCCTGGTCTCCTATGCGGGTGCAGGGCCCAAGCACCTGTGCCATGTTCCATTGCCCTCCCAGGCCACAGCAGAGAGCTGGACTGGAAGAGGAGCAAGCGGCACTAGAACCCGGCGCACCAATGGGATGCCAGCACCGCAGTGGTGGATTAACCCAGTGAGCCACGGTGCCTTGCCCCTAGGTTCTGCTATTGATTCCAGCTTTCTGCTGATGCAAATCCTGGGAAATAGCAGGGGACGGCTCAAGTAGTTGGGGTCCTGCTACCCATGAAGCTCCTGGTTTCAACATGGCCCAGCTCTGGCTGTTGTAAGCATTTGGGGAGTGAACCCACAGATAGCTTTCTCTTTCTCTGCCTTCCATGATTTTTTTTTTTTAAACAGGAAATAAAAATGTTTTAAAGAGTAGCAACTAGCTGAGGAACAAAAATTTCCAATGCATCTCAATATTACTAGAAGATACTTTACTGATTTTCCAAAATAAAATATACAATATGTACAGTAATGACCTTGAGTCATCTAAAGATACATTTTAAACACGGGAGTGGGTACTTGTAGTAGTAAGATGCTACTTAGGACACCAACATTCCATATTGAAGTACCTGGGTTTTAAGTTCTTGCTTCCAGCTTCCTGCTAATGGGCACCCTACGGGGGGAGGTGATGGCTCAAGTAGTTGGGTCTCTGTCACCTACATGGGAGACCTGGCTGACTTTTAGACTCCTGACTTTCGCCTGCTCCTGATCTGGCTATTGTAGGTTTTTGTGAAGTGAACCAGCACATGAGATCTCTCTCTCTCAAAAATGAGTTCTTATTTTGCTTAAAGGGAAGAGTATTCTTAATTTGTATGCTATTTATTAAGTATAAATGAATGTATGACATGTATAAAATTAGACTATCAAAATAATTTTTCTCAATTCTTTTTTTAAAAGATTTATTAAAGTCAGAGTTACGGAGAGGCAGAGAGGCAGAGATAGTCTGTCTTCCATCTGATGGTTCACTCCCCAAATGGCCACAATGACCAGAACTGTGCCAATCCGAAGCCAGGAACTAGGAGCTTCTTCTGAGTCTCCCACAGGGGTGCAGGGACCTAAGAATTTGGACCATTTTCTGCTCCTTTCCCAGGCCATAGGAGAGAGCTGGATTGGAAGTAGAGCAGCTGGGACTCGAACTGGTGCCCATATGGGATGCCGGCACTGCAGGCAGTGGCTTCACACGCTACACCACAGTGCCAGTTCCTGTTTTCTCAATTCTAAGGATTTAACTTTGGTGCCATACTATACTTGCAAAAACACTTCATTTGAGAGCATATACTTAAAAGTAACCATTACCATTTGCTCTCTGTGACCTGAGGCAAACAGTGCAACTTTCCTTTGCCTCAGAAAACAGGTAATAATATACAGTACAACCATGGAAATTTCTGAAGAGTAATTAAAGCCATCATGAAGCACTCAGGAAAGTGCTTATCATATTTTAATTGTGCCTCAAAATTTGTTATTACTGTCTACAGCTTCAAACTATTTCTTACAAATAATGCCTCCTAAATTCCCAAACCTCAATCACAAACAGGATTTTTTGGAATGTCCTCTTAATAAGTGTATTGTAAAAGTCCTGTGATTACACACTTTTCCTGAAAGTTTCAAATTACTGCCTAAAAAAATTGGACTAGAATTTCACCTAAGTATCTTACAATTCTGATTTTATTACCCTGCCATTTGCTTCAGTCTCCCTAACCCCCTTAAATCTGTTTCCCTATGCAGTCTTTTCCAGCTATAATTTAGGTGGTGTATTGGGAGGACCTGAAGGGATCTTTAAGGTATCAAAAACAGTCCAGGTTGGCCTCTAATATGAAGTAGGCAGTCTGGGATCAATCTTTTTATGGATCTTACCACACTTGAGCCATCAGCTTGTCTCCCAAGGTACGTGATAACAAAAAACAAGAATCGGGATTGGGATTAGAGCTCTGACAGAAACCTAGGCACTCCAAAATGGATCCAAGTGTCCCAATGCAAACTCCACCCATCTAATCTTGTAAGGTTATTCATAAAATTGTACTTGCAACAATCTCAATTATGATCAGTCTAAAGAAATGAAATTTAAGTTGACAACTTTCACACTTCATCTACCTTAAAAAGAAACCATGTCTGCCTAAAGTGTTTTATCATTGATACTCACAGAATTAAAGTTGAAGTCTGTGTCACACCCACACAGGTGTCCTTTCCCATTCTTCTGAAGAGTAATTTTTCTTTCATACTTAGGATCCATTATAGATGATCTTGGTGGCACACTGTGAATGTTTACTATGTATGCCCAAATGATCTTTTATTATATGTATTCATTTCCAAGGCTGTGTATTCCTACTGTAGCATACTATGCATGCCCAAATAATCTTTTATTATATTTATTCATTTCCAAGGCTGTGTATTCCTACTGTAGCATACTCAAAGTATAATCAAAGGCAGGGCTTCTCATTGTTTTTTAATTAAGTCAATATGCCCTCAAAGAAGTTCAGAATGATTGCATCCTCCAAATTAGCGAAGCGATGTATTAGATGCATCACATGGCCTGTCTACTTATGAATTCCAAATCCTAAGAGCCAGGCAAAACCTCAGTGCAAGCTTCTGATCTCACCAATAGCCGTGGAAGACTTCAAGCAGATTTGTAATGTGTTGGACTCAGCAGTTTCTAGAGAAAAACATAGTCTCCGAAACCTTTGTCTAAATTCCCTATTTTTGTTTAGACTCTCCCTCTATTCCAAAACATGGGAGTTACCCAAGATTTTACTCTTCAGTTCATAATTCCTTTCATTTCAAGATCCAAAGTTTCTTAATTTATCTCCTCTACCTACTGCTTCTGCTATATTTCATCCTAACTGGTTTTGTTACACACCTCCAATTGTTTCTTTCCTTCAAACTGATCTTTCTGAAATAAAATGCAAGCTCTATTACAAATACATGAAAGAGGTATGTGGGGGAGGTGCTTAACTATGTCTGTAGGAATCTACAAATGATTTTTAAGAATGTTAAAAAATTATGTATATGAGATCCCTCAAAAATTTGTGGAAAATGAATGAAAATGCTATACATGGATTTCCCCCCAAATTTTTTTTGCATCAAAGTAAACTTCTAATTCCTTTTTCTGTGGACATTTTGAAATACACTCATATTTATGGATGCACCCCTCCAACCCGTACACATACACAGTGCTGTACTTGGTAAAGTTTTTCCTTTAGAGACCTGGGTAAACAACTCTGAAAAAGCTAGATATGTATACTGGAACTAGATAACTAAGGAAATGGATAGCAGAAGCTGGGAACCAGATTTTTCACTGTAGTGAGAAGTTCAAGAGATAAGGGAAGAGGCTGGAATCATTTATGTGGTAATGAGTTAGAATTGGAAACATATGAACTCATGGTTAGCCTAACATATACTTCGTTACATATGAAATATAGGTGTGTGTGTATATATATACATATACAAATACATACAAGTTAGTATCTACACATGTACTTCCTTGTTATAAAACAGAGTACCTATAACCAAAGACAACCCACTAGCAATAAATACCCAGATACTGGTTTCCAATACTGTTTTCCCATGAAAGAAACCAGATATCTTTGGAGAAATGACTAATTCTAGAATTTGGGCAGTAAATAAATCAAATATGCTCCAAACATCTTGAAATACCAGAAAATAAGTGCTGAATACAAAACACTGAAAAAAAAATACAAAAAAATCTGACACAAGGAAAATAGGAGTTAATAAGGCCACAATAACAATTTGAACACCATAACAAAGTAATACTGGATTATACCTCAAACCATAAATATCCATGAGTCCATATTAATGTGAATAATTATGTGAATGGGGAGGAGACAAATACCCTGTGTAGAAAATTCCCAAGGAAATGGAATATGATACTATTGTCTGCCTCTTCTCCCCACCCCACTTCTAATTATGAGCTGCATATACTGATTTCCTTCCAAACAGTGGAAGAGGATTGGGGCAACTACCTTTGCAATGAAAAAACAGACACACACTACTGTAAGGCAGCTGATCAAAATGATAATTCATGTTTACAGTCTGTCCTTGATACAATGGGAGAACTGCACTTCAGCTCTGTGGTTTTTCTTTCCCTGATTACAGTTAATGATTGATCTGACAAACTGCCCCAGTACCAAGAGGAGCCCAAGAGACATAATGACTAAATATAATTTGGTCTTCTAGGTAGACTTCAAAAAAATTTTTGGACTACAAAAAAATGTATTTGGTAAGAACCATCAAAATCTGACTAAAACATGGACTCAGTGTAGTTAGTACAATGAATCAACATTGGTTCAGTAATTCTAATGAGTGTACCTACTAATGTGGTATTCATAGTGGAAACTGAGTGTGTTATATATATAAACTCTATGTACTGTTTTTACAGTTTTTATACAAAGCCCAAACTGTTCTAAAGTAAAATGTTTAAAGAAATCACACTGATAAAAAGGAGAAAAAAAAAAAGGCTAACTTATCAGAAAACCATGCTGTCTTTACCATTTAGTATATATACAGCAGAACAGTCTGGAAATTATTCTACAGATTCTTGGGCCCCACTTCTAGAGTTTCTGATTTAGTAGGTCTAGATTGGGGACCAAGAGTTTGTATTTCTAGAAAATCCCCAGTGATGCAGATACTACTGATCTAGAAATGGTACTTTGATAAATTCTGGTCTGGTCCAGAAGATGAAAGACAATTCAAATTATCTTTTGCCATCTGGTCCCTCCCACAATCTTACCTACTGTCTTTCCCATGCAGGTAACTTACATTTCAGGTACTCCAATTTAAGTAACTGTTTTCATCAGGTCCCATACCAATAAGCAAAACAAACAAGTTAGTCATTGTTTTGGTACAGGTTTTATCTAACAGAGATATGAATTTCATTGTTGGTCAAAAACAGAAACTATTAATATACAAGGGAACACAAACACAAGAAAGTTAACCAGACAAAAAATGAATAAACATCCAACTGTAAATTGGAATGAGCATAATGAAGGAATTTTATAACATTAATACACTCATTTAATCTCTTTAATGGAGAAAAAAGTACCTCAAGTTCAAGGAGGCTTGCCTTTTCCAAGATCACTAATCTGAATTAGCAAACATTTTTAAAAAGGTTATTTTGCCATCAGCAGAAGCTGATTCAGAAACTGAGGGAGTAGTATACAAACCAGGCAATCTAACGGGGGAATGGATGTTCCAAGAGGCAATCTGACCATTGTGCCAAATACTTGCCCTAGCATACAATCTTTATAGGCTGTTGGTTTTAATTTTAATCTACGTGAAGTAGATTAGTCTACTAAACTGGAAAACTAAGAAGTCATCAAAAAGTTTTGATGAAAACACTGTCTTTGGAAAACTGTTCTTGAAGGGACTCTGTATTTAAAAATCCATAAGAATTTAAAATCAAGCAGTAACAATGCAGAAAATCTTTATAAGCTGAGCATTTTATGAATAATGCCAGAATTAGAAAGCTGTGGGCATCTAAATTAAACTGAAAAGGTAAGTCACACAATACCAAATGAACTCAAGGTGTTAAAATAACAGGACAGTTGAGAAGCAGTCAGGAAAGATACCAACTTGCCACTTCCCAATTAAGAGAAATGAAACACAAAAATAATTTATCAACAAAACCTAAAAGTTAGCTGTTCTCAACATCTTGCATTTTGGAACTAAGGCAACTGGAATTATGATATTAGCAAAAGAATACAAAGCAAATACCAATTATGAATGCCAGGTCAAAATAATTTGCATCAAACAATAACTTGTTAAAGAGTACCTGGCTGTTAAAAACAATAAAGCTAGGCCGGCGCCGTGGCTCAATAGGCTAATCCTCCACCTTGCGGCGCCAGCACACCGGGTTCTAGTCCCGGTCGGGGCGCCGGATTCTGTCCCGATTGCCCCTCTTCCAGGCCAGCTCTCTGCTATGGCCAGGGAGTGCAGTGGAGGATGGCCCAGGTGCTTGGGCCCTGCACCCCATGGGAGACCAGGAAAAGCACCTGGATCCTGGCTCCTGCCATCGGATCAGCGCGGTGCGCCGGCTGCAGCGGCGGCCATTGGAGGGTGATCTAACGGCAAAGGAAGACCTTTCTCTCTGTCTCTTTCTCTCACTGTCCACTCTGCCTGTCAAAAAAATAAATAAATAAAAAAATTAAAAAAAAAAAATAAAGCTATGGAGTACATACCCAAATGCCTTAAAACAGACACCGCATTTCAGAAATGAGCTTTCAAATGTTTACTTATTGTGGATGTATGCATGGTAGAATTTTTCAGGCTGAGGAATGAATGCCTTTTTTAAAAAGCAGGCAGTGAGGACAAAATAACTCAAAGTTTTCTTAAAATATTTGCAAGAACTCTTCAATGTTCTCTTCACTTGATGGTTAAAGAACTGTCTAAAGAAAAGTCAAACAAGTTATACTTATCAAGAATTAAAATCTCTTAAAATAAAATATGAAGTAGAATCATTACACTCCTTTGCCAGTATGCAGTTCTGCTAAGAAGTTGTATCATCAACTTGTCAACATCCATTAATTGCAATTCATATTTTAATTATTTATAAATTTCTGATTTAAATAATGACAAGAAATTTGTAATAAAATTAAGATATGTTCAAGAGTTCCACAAGAAATAATGGTCAAAATTAAACTTTCTACTTTAGTCAACATTTATGTACCAAGGCTAATTACTTATGTCTTACAGTTATGATTTTAACATAGGAGTAAGATTAACATGATATAAAAACTTCATGTACTAGTTTTTTTTACAATACTTCTATAAATCTAAAATTATCTCAAAATAAGAGACTACAAAAAAAACCTTAATTTCTTAAGATCTTATTTCTGTTTTGCTAGCAAATTGCTAGGCAGGAAAAACAGGATTTTGATTTCCCATGCTGGGCTAGTTACAATAGTATCTATCTAACTTTGATTGCTTTGCTATAGTAATTACCTTAAATGCTAAGACAAAGCATATTCCTAGAGAAAAACTCACTAAAGTTAACAAGCATTTTTTATTAACTTTTTTTTTAAAAGACAAATTGATAAGTAAATTATATTCTACCTATCACTCTTAATTTATGTATGAGTCTAAGATTAAGTATTATATAGATTTTTATCTGGGCAACAAATTCAGAGGTTTTTAGAAAAAGAAGCAAAAAAATAAAATGGTCACTAGTGAACCAGACCACATAAAATGTATCTCAAAAAAAAAAAAAAAAAAAAAAAAAACCCAAAAACTTGAAACATAATTTATTTGCTTTAAATAACAGTTCACCTCATGTAACACATAGTAAGGATTATATTGGGGGAAAAAACCTCAAGAAGGAGGCACTGAAGAAGGTATATTAACCACTGCCTTAGATCAAATTAAGTATAAAACCCCTGCTTCAAACAATAAGAAATATGTCTAAATGAACCTAGTTTCCAAAATCATGAAATAAAACTAAAAAAAGTGACTATATCTTCCAGTACTAGACACATATGTACTTACTTGCAGAGTCTAATATTTACTGCCCCAAAATTTTGTCATGTCATTTTAATGGCATCAAAACCTGTATGCCATATTATTTTGAGTTCTTATAATAGAAACAGAGCTAAACATTTTAATAATTATATAACTAAACAGATATTTGCTAAGAATACTAGAATGATAATACTAAGTTAAAATCATATTTTTGCAAGTTTTGCTTCTTAAGAATTCCATTAATACCAAGAAAACACTCAAGGGGTTTGGAAAACAAACCCCTTTCATTTTCATTTTAAATCTATGTAAGTAAGCCTAATTAATCCCCAAATTTATGCTAAATTCTACCAGTTTTGGATTTCATAACATTTCATTTTCTTCTTGAGTTCCACACAGAAAAAGTAGCCTCTCCTTTAATTAAGCCAGTTAGTATAACAGGAGAACATATAATCAACATTGTGTCACTATTGTTCTCAGGTTTTCCATGAAAGCCTTAAAATAAAAACTACAAAAGAATTGAGCTATTTCATTTATTTAATATGTATTAGTTATCATAAAGCAATGTTTATATATTTAGTTTTTTGATTCCCTAATGTATTTCCACAAACTTTTGAGTCTATAGTTTTACAGATATAGTTTTCCATCAGGGAGACCAAATATTTAATTTCTTCTTACATATAACTAATTAGAGGTTTTAAGAGAGAGTATAGGTTATAAATCAAGTAAATTTAGTGATAACACTATACAAAACCCTTTTGAATAATCAGGAAAAACATTTTTAACATTATTTTGTCATAAAATAAGAGAATTTTAGCGAAACTGGTAACTCTATAATCTTAATTATATTTCCCATACTCTTAACAAGTAATATATGTACTGATGTAATTTTTCAGTTTTATTAACTGTAAACAAGTTCCAATTTGTCAATCAATGCTTATATTTCCCTTTACTTACTGCACTTCCTCAGGATTAATCCTCTTAGAAAAAGTAACTATCACAAGGAAAAACAATGCCAGCCTTATCTTTTCTGTAAAGATATTCAAGTATTATAGGAACAGAAATCTATGGAAAAAACTAATTAAAATTTTGACATTTTGTCTTGCTTTACTAATTATGGGACGATAGAAGTGAGAAAAGTTCATTATACTTTTCAGCTTAATGAAATATTACACAAAGAAATACTGCAAATATGTTTATGATCTATACTCTAGCTTCAAGTATAGGACACAACTACAGTTCTATCAGTATGAGAAATGAATAATCAGTCTTATGTAACTGGAAAGGAAGATGGGAGGCACAAAAAGACAGACTGACTTTGGCTTTTAAGAATCTAACGCTGACCCTGAAATGCCAAGATACAACAACAACAACAACAGCAACAGATTACAGCAGCAAGCCACCACTTCACCACATTAAGAATTCTGAAACAGGCAATAGGTTTGTCCCCATCCCCTCATTCAATCTGAAATATCTTTCTGTTTTTCAGGCTTTTTGGTCATAGGCAGTTCAAGGCTTGCCCACTGCATAGGTTCAGCTTTTCTCATGGTGATTTCAATCTTTGTTGCAGTCATAGTTACATAACTTCGTTTTACATCAATCACCTATAACATATTGAAGAGAATTAATCTTGGATAGTTTAATTAGTCTCAGAGAAAAGTATCAGTCTTGCTTACACTAATATTCCCAAATTCAAGCCATTATAGCCTTTTTTAATACTCATATTTAAAATTTTTGGTAAGATATAATGCTGTTATATTTTTAAATTTTATGTAACGTTTATATAAATGCTGTTATATATATTTCCATTAAACTGTAATAAATAGCTTCTTCTACAATGGTATTTTATAAAAAAAAAGTGGTGAATCTGTAATACTTACACCCCATAATTTCACATTTTGATGAAATTCCTTCTCTCTTTCAAATACAATGTGAACATTTAACTGTAAAAAGATAACCAAAATTCAATTATCAAATTCACACCGAAGGCTTCTATCAAACACCGATTATAAGACATTTAAACAAATAAACTATTTCAAGAAACTGCCAGTATCAAATGTCTTTTTCAACGGAGAACACTATCAACAGAAAAAAAACTGACTTGAAATTTCATCCTGAGAACTATGAACCATATTATTTGCTAATTTTCTAAACTCTGTAGTATCTACAGAATGCCTTGGAATATGAATTATGCAGACATTTTCATTTGAAACAGTTTTCATGAAGTCAACTTAAATAATTTTCTGAACAGGAAAAATTGTAAGATTGTAAGATCCTTTCTCAAAATCAGAAAAATATTTTTGTAACATAAAGAACAATGAGCAGAAAAGACATTTTACTTAAAATTATTTAGTATACTTACCAATGTACTATTTGCTTCTACTCGACTAAGTTCTGGAAGTGAATTTTTAGCATATACTGAAATGGTGACTTCACCTCCAGTCTGATGCCAGTCGTGTCTACATGGAACAACTTTTTTACCCTGTTAATTTAAGAGAAATTTAAGTCCAAAAAGTGCCAAATAATTCACTTCTCTGAGATGAATTTGATCTAATTAAGAAAAAATTAACATGCACAACTGAACATTTAAGGCTTATGGGGCAAACTACTGAAATTTACATAAAAATATATATATTGGATACAAAGAATCTTAGTTTTAAGATTTGAGAACAAGCTTATTCTTCCCATTTGTTTTTTTTTCAGGGCCACAGTATGATCACATATTTAAAAGGCAGTAAACTTTACCCAATATTCTAAAATCCACTAATTACTGTCATAAAAACATTCTTTAACCTCATGAATAGGAACTTTTAATTTATTCTCTACAATAAGAATCTGAGGGCAAAGGAAAAAAAAATCTGATCACTTATAACTATCTATACTGTTATTAAATACATATTTTCCTCCTGTACTAATATGTAGAAAACTGAGAATTTGTTGAAGCAATTTTTTGATTGCTATTATGGAAATAATCATTATATTTTAACGGCACACTACCATATCAATAAATGAGAACAATTTGGTCAATAATTCAGGAAATTGAGATACTACTGTTGTAAAAGGCAATGTTTAAATTTTGGTACCATTACACTAATAAAGTTAAATTACACATATCACATTTTTGCCCATACTTATTGGCTCAGCTGGTTCAGATTTGGTAACTGCATACATTACAACAACTACAAAATACATCAGTCCATTAAGGGATATATTTTGAAAACTTTTTAACATAATAGAAAGTATTTCAAACTAAAACTTTCAAACTTTGAACCTCAAAGAAAATATACAGGTGGATATATCTTTATACTAATGAAATGTTCTTAGAAGTTTTGTGGTATATGAATTATTATAACTTGGAAAAGTATATTTATAATATTCAACCATATTATTAAAAAGTAGTAACTAGAAGAATATTCAAATGTTGAATAAATCTCTAAATCTGAAAATTCACTTTATGAACTGTAAGCCCCAAGTTTTATATATTTACATATGCACACACATACACACATACACAAACATACACATATACCAAAAAAGTTCATTGCACTATAGGGATTATTAGATTCAGTATAGCATAAGGGAATAATATATTATAAAATAAATTCATAGTTAATAGATAAAAACTTCCTTAGCAATACATTTCTTGGCTTTCTAAACGTTAACGACCTTTGGAGAAATTATCTACATAGACTCAAGTTTTTTTTTTTTTAGAAAGCTGTCCATGGAAGTAGGAACTGATGCCCATTTTCTCTTTAGCCAACAGAGGCATTCAAAACAATCCACCTAACCAAGTCTGTAATCCACTTCCTTGGCCATTAGATGGAGGGTTTGAGATTCTGGTAAACAGTTGAATAAAGTATGAAGTGGGGAAAAAAAAAAAAGAAATCAGAACTCTAAACGTAACCTACATCATTACATAAATGGAGGGGCCAGTGCTGTGGCACAGGAGGTAAAGCTGCCAGCAGCAGTGCCGGCATCCCATTTGGGTGCTGGTTCAAGTGGAGCCATCTGCTCCACTTCCAATCCGGCTCCTTGCTAATGTGCCTAGGAAAGCAGTGGAAGATGGCCCAAGTGCTTGGGTCCCTGCACCCACATGGAAAATCTGGCAAAACCCCTGGCTCCAGATCAGGCCAGCTCTGGCCATTGCGACCATTTGGAGAGTGAACCAGTGGATGGAAGATCTCTTTTTCTCTCTCTCTGTAACTCTGTCTTTCAAATAAATAAATCTTTAAAAACATACATAAATAGAACATACATAATACTTAACATAAATAGAAAAGTGTTTTCTAAAAAGCAAATATGAAAAGGCTGTGTAGTTAGTTTTAATAATAATAAAAGACAAGGACGCTTCAATTTTGGCAGGCTTAACTATTTCACAAAATCCCACACGTCTACACCAGCATACACAATGACTATTTTACTCAACAGGCAATGCTCTGAGAGCTTCATTTAGATTAATTTTTACTTTATAGGCATGTCAAAGCTTTTCTGTTCAAGGAAGACCGATTTTTAAATCTAAAAGAGAATAATTTCAAGTCTTTTAAAAACGAGATGACTACAACTCAGTAAGTTGTTTTTTAAAAGCTTACTTACATCATCCTTTTTAGTCCACAAGTGTTTTCCTGTCGTACAGCCCTCCTGGGCTAAGAATGTGTTAAAGTCAGAGGTTTTTCTTCTACAACAGCTCCAGTATTTCATCCTTTAAATTATAGAAAAAGTTTATACGTAAAAATCTCAAAACCAATTAAATCCAGAATTACAATGATATGTGTGATTAAAAAATAAACCTGCTACTTCAGTATCTTAATAAAGTTACTGAACAATTACAATAGATATTTGTCAAGAAGACTAATAATGTAAAAAATCAGAGTATCCATTTATTATAGTAATTTCAAGACATTTAAAGCCATCACAATATTCAAAATCATTTTTCACAGACAGCTCATGTTTGTTTTTTCTTGAAGCTATCAAAAAGTGGTATGACCAGAGATTCATAATTCTTACCCTTCAACAACTCAATAAAGTGAGACTAGCAAACAAATTAAATACTAATATTTATACAATCTGTGATGGTCAATCCCAAAACAGGTGAAACTGATTATCAGTTAAGAAAAAAACAAAAAACCTAAAAACACAGGAAGCCAAAATTTAAAGGACTTCAAGTTTGATTCCTGAACAAAATGGAAACATATCAGATGATTTTAACACAGCACTATTTTCTATGTACTACCATATAATATGAAGATTTAATATTTTTAACCTTCTCCATAACGTATTTTAATTAGTCATGTGTAAGTTACCCTTCATGAAAAATAGGTACTCCAGAATGATATACACAGACTTCTTCTAGACTCTCTTGACCCTGGTATGTCTAAAAGAGAAAAAAGAGGAAAAAATTACCTGCATATTCCTCAATTACATCTTATAAATATCTCCATTACTGGTTATCTTTATGAATTTTGCAAAATATTCAGTAACAACTACCTAGAACATTCATAAATTCATCCCAGAACATTCTAGAAAGGAATGATAAATTATTTCCTTTGGGACATGGCTAAATTCTAGGTTCCTGTGAAAAAGGCATACAGAAAAGTAGGCAATAGGATATATTATGATGCTTTTGGGGCCAGTGCTGTGGCACTGTAGGTTAAGTCTCCACCTACAGCACTGGCATCCCATATGGGTGCTGGTTCAAGTCCAGGCTGCTCCACTTCCGAACCAGCTCCATACTGATGACCTGGGAAAGCAGCAGAGGACGGCCCAAGTGCTTGGGCCCAGGCACCCACGTGGGAGACCCAGAAGAAGCTCCTGGCTTTAGATCCGCCCAGCTCTGGCCATTTCAGCATATGGGATATGGGGAGTGAAATCAGCAAATGGACGACCTCTCTTTCTGTCTCTCCCTCTCTGTAACTCTGCCTCTTGAATAAATAAATTAATCTTTTTTTTAAAAAAATGATGCTTTCAGCTTTTCAGGAATGAGGTCTCTTCCAAGCATGCCCATGTATGGTCATTATCTGTGTGAGCATTATCACTTAATATGGGAACTCTTTTAAACAATTCTGAAAATTCTGCAGTGATGGTGATTTTTTATCCTTATAAAGGAAAAAAAAAATCAGATATATATTTTCCATGGTTTGTCTGAGAGATCCGGGCCCTGTTACTGTTGTAGGTGAAGGCATAACAGATGAACTCAGTAAAAGTTGTTAATAAAACATGGATGCAGCTAGTAATGTATTTTTTTCTTAGTGTAACTACAAGTAACTCAAAAGTTTGAAGATATATATATATATGAAAAAGTGTGTGAGAGAGTGACAGAGAGATGTCTTTCATCTGCTGGTTCATTCCCAAAATAGCCACAACTAAGGCAGGTCCAGGCAGAAGTCAGGAAGAACTCTATCTAGGTTTCTTTCATGGGTGGCGGAAACTCAAGTACTTGAGCCATCATCTGCTGCCTCCTAAGTGCGTTAGTAGGAAGATGCACTGGAAATGAAGCAGCCAAGGGCTGGAACCAGCACTCTAATATGGGATGCAGGTGCCCTAAGGGGTGGTTTAACACACTGCACCAAAATACCTGCACCTAAGTGTTTATTTTTTGTAAATCCATATGCTGTGTATATTTCAATATATTCCATAAGCAAATGCCTCTTCAGTCTGTTACATTTTTTTTTTTTTTTTTGACAGGCAGAGTGGACAGTGAGAGAGAGAGACAGAGAGAAAGGTCTTCCTTTGCCGTTGGTTCACCCTCCAATGGCTGCCTTGGCCGGCGCGCTGCGGCCGGCGCACCGCGCTGATCCGATGGCAGGAGCCAGGAGCCAGGTGCTTTTCCTGGTCTCCCATGGGGTGCAGGGCCCAAGCACCTGGGCCATCCTCCACTGCACTCCCTGGCCACAGCAGAGAGCTGGCCTGGAAGAGGGGCAACCGGGACAGATTCCGGCGCCCCAACCGGGACTAGAACCCGGTGTGCTGGCGCCGCTAGGCGGAGGATTAGCCTAGTGAGCCGCGGCGCCGGCCCAGTCTGTTACATTTTGAACTTATTACTATTGCCCCCCCAACCTACTCTTTTTCCCATCTCCCAAAGCAAAATTCGGATAAGTTCTCTTGAATTTCTGTTCTCTTTCCTGCTATAGTTACTTTATCATAAAATCTAGTCAAATTTACTTGAAAATATCTATCAGTTTAATTTGCTAACTTTCCTCATAAACTTGCAGATTTTACGCAGTTGAACTACAGTTTACTAATACATTTCTGAGCCTTCAATTTCTGTTCTACTGTCTAATTACAATTATTTATTTCCATAATTATCTCATTTAAAGTCCTTTACTTACATCTAGCTCATATGCCCCTCTATGAAAAAATACTCATGGCCTTGAAGTATGCAAAGATTTCTTAAATAGGATATAGAAAGCACTAGTCACAAAGAAAAAGATAGACAATTTGAATCTCTTTCAAATTAAAGTGACTTTGTCTATCAAAGCCATCACTGAAAAAAATGAAGGGTGTAGTATATCTGACAGAGGACTTGTAGTCAATATATATTAAAAATTCCTAAATTGATTAGAAAACCCAAAATTAGGTAAAAGATTTTGAACATTTCACAAAAGAGGATATCACTTGCTAGCCCCCACAATGTTAAGCATGTAATAAATGCTCATGCAATTACTAAACGAGATTTATTCTCACATTTTTATTACATATGATGCTACTCAGAGTCTCTTATCTATATCTGTGGTCCTAGTCCATAGAATAGTGCCAACTGCTAAGAGGTACCCAAATGTTCGCTGAACTCAATCAGTGAATTATACCCCTTTCTTCCAAATTAAAATTTTACTTGGTAACACAAGTTTTGTAACATATACCTTTGAACACCCTCCATTTTTACATGAGGTTCCAATCTTAATTTCATCATTGTCTTCTTCTGAAACAAAGGGGAAAAATGAAATTTAAACAGTAAAATATAATTTCACTGCTGTATAATTTTTAAAAAGTAGTGTTTTCTAGAAAACTGTTTAAAAAGAAAACAGTACTATCATTAGTTTGCCTGCATCCTCCAAATAATATATGGTGCATTGCTATTCTATAATGGAATGGTTTATACAGTATATTTAACGTCATAAAAAGGAACACACACACACAGAGAGGAAGAGAGAAAGAGAGAGAGAGAAAGAGAGAAAGAGAAAGAGAGAGAGAAAGAAAGAGAGAGAGAGAGAGAGAGAGAGAGAGAGAGAGAGGCATTTTCAGCCTGCTGGTTCACTCACCAAATGTCAGCAACACTTGGGGCTGGGCCAGGATAAAGCTAGAAGCCAGCTATTCCATCCTGGTGTCCCATATGGGTGGCAGCTTTCCCAGGCATATTAGCAGGAAGGTGGATCAGAAATGGAGCACCCAGGACTCAAATTGGCACTCCGATATGTGATACTGACAAGGTGGCTTAACCTGCTATGCTGTAACACCAGCCCCATAGAAATGTATTTTTGTCATCATGGTATCAAGCATAGGTCACAATTGAGTCTGTTTTATGTAATGCACAAGGAAACATTTTCAATTATTAATTTCAATTATTAAAGCAATTTCACTCACTGTTTAAAAATAAGCCTGGGGGTGGTATTGTGGTACAGCAGGTTAAGCCATTGCCTGTGATGCTGAATATTCAGTATGGGTGCTGGCATCCCATATGAACACCGGTTCATGTTCAGGCTGCTCCACTTCTGATCCAGCTCCCTGCTAATGCACCTCAGAAAGCAGTGGAAGATGGCCTGAGGGCTTGGGATCCAGAATCAATGTGGGAGACCCAGATGAAGCTCCTGGCTTTGGCCTTGCCCAGCCCCAGCCATTGTGGCCATTTGGGGAGTGAACCAGAAGATGTAAGATTCCTCTCTTTCTCTCTCTTTTAACTGCCTTTCAAATAAGTAAATAAATCTTTAAAATAAATAAAAATAATCAATAAAGGAACCACATACTTATTCATCCGGTATTATTACTAACATTTTAGAAAAATTTTAAGTTATTTACTATAACACATTTTACATATTTACATTTCTTACTATTTCATCCTTTTATTCAGTAAACTACTGCTACCTGTTTTGGATAACCACTTAGTTACACAAAAACATTAACAATAACACAAAAAGTAATCTTACCTTTCTTCTCCTCTTCAATCCCTGATGATAGTTTAAGTTTATCAAGTGCTTGTTTTAGGGAGGCAGATATTTTTAATTCCAAATTTGTCATTGGTTCATCTGGACTGGAGAAGTTTTAAACCTTCATTACAAAAATGTACCAAAACATTTCTTTGTACTTAAAAATCAATAATTTTAAAGCCTTCTAGGAAGAAGCCAAATGTGAATCAAGTTATTTCCACTAAAATATTTTATAGATAATGGCTATAATCTACTTACATTCTGTTTTAACCAAAAATGTTTTTATAATAAAGCCCAAAATGTTCAGTTGCTAGTAAGGAGAGTTAAAAGGAAAGGAGGGAAGACAAGAAAAAGACATATGCCAGTGTACAAAAAGATATAGAGCTCCCACATCCTGATGGTACATATACTATAATTATAATGGCACAAGAAGAAAATCTACAATGATGCTTTACTGTGCATATGCCCTGAAATTGAGGGGGAATAGAAATTCAAAGCTTAGCTAAGGAAAAAATCAAACAGTTCAAAACTTGGTGGCCTAAACAAGAATATTATGCAAAATCATAAAAGGAAATATCATAAACAAATGTTGTTATTTAAATGTGACAAAAGCACCCAACTGAATAAAGTATACCTTGGCCTTTTTATTGTTTCTACCGGTTTAGGGGCTTGAATGATGTGCTCCTGAAATTTGGGTTTCAATTCAGATAGTTCTTTCTTTTCTGTAGTCTTCACTTCAGGCTTGACTGGTTCAGGCGGCTTCTCATTATTATGCCTACCTTTCGTACAGCCCTGTTAGTCAAAGGTATTAAGAGTCATCCTGTCATCTATTTTTACAAGCCATGAAGAAATACTTTATTAGATTGACTTATTTTAATAATCTAAAAAAGGACTTCAAATTTGCTTTATTTGTGAAAGAATCATCTCTGAACAAAGCACTTTTTTTAAAAAGTCTTCAAATACACTTCTTAAATATGTTTTTACCTTTTCTATTAACCATAAACTTCTTGTTGACAGAAAATGAATTTTGGAGAACTTTAAAAAGAGAAGTCTACAAATTATTTACATACAAGTCTTTTATGCAAAAAGGCCTCAACTAGAGCACCAGCTCTACTTACTAGCTGTTCAACCCTGAACAAGAGAATTGTTTTAAACCTGTTTAAAATTGTTGCCTACCACATCCTTATCCTAATATATCTTTGAAGCCTATTATATACATCAAAAAGAAACCTAAAATGACAAATGATGAATTAGTATCTTAAAACCTTATTCTCTAAAAGCAGCCCCCCTCCCCCTTTTTAAGAGGCTCTGAACATGACATGAACTCCATTTTAAAAGGTGCTATTTGATAGTTAACAGGAACCAGTCAATAGGTACCAGAAATCAGACCTCCTTAAATCCAGAGCTTCCTGTAAGATACATTTTCAGGAAGATACTCTAGAAAAATAAAGTAGTACTTACTACAATGCTTAAGAAATCAGAAAAATCAGTTGTTCTTCTCTTACAGCAAGACCAACCCTACGAAACACAAGAGGGAAAAAGAATGGAAAGTGAGTACAGGAACAGTGACCCACTAAAACACTCTACTTGGACTTAACTCCTTGAATCCTGAAATTATTTTCATTTACATGGGATCTTCAAAAAGTTTGTGGAAATTGTGTATTATAAAAACCTATGCACAGACTTCAAAATTCTTTGCATCAAAATAAACTTACCTTTCAATTCCATTTTCTAATTTTAGTATATGTGCTGCAGAAGTGAGCACTGAATTCCATTTACTAAAAAGTTTCTGAAGTACCCTTGCCTACAGATTTCACTGTTTCAAAGTGTTACAATGATTTATCTTATCAACTGAGAAGATTTCTAACCTGTTTTAAAAGAACCAATTAATCAATGTTACAATGGCTTGTTTTGTGACCTATCATCAAAGGAAGCCTCTTAAAGCAGTGAAATAGAAATTGCTTTTATCTTCATGAACAGTACATTTTTGGAAGAATAACATTTTGTAATTCCTAAAAATCATATATTTAAAGGAAGTCAGGGTGATTTTTTTTTACTTTAAAAAAATCTAGTAAGGATAATAATTTACTTTCTAAACAAAACCCACAGTATGGTTCAGCAATAAGCATTCTATTTTAAGAACAACATAATTAACATGGCGCCAAATCATTATGAGAAATATCTCATAATGAAGGTGAAATGATCGTTTCAGTGAGAAGCATAAAAACACAGAAATTATTTTACAGAATGTGATTTTTTTTAAAACAAAACATCAAGCAACTCAACAAAAAATGGCATTAAGACCTCTATTCCAAATGTACTATTGAGAACAGTGACACAAAAAATGTAGCAGTCTGAAGACATGAGCAGTTGCTAATTCAGATTAGGTGCCAACTTAGCACATACCACCTGGGCCTCACTGTTACTCAATATACTGCATATAAAATTTGGCAGTGATTTTTTTTTTTACAACATGTACTTTCAGTGTTTTTTTAAAGAAAGTTTTGAATATGCTACAATTCAAAATTTCCCTTATTTTAAAATTTAATACTCTATATTTTAACACTGAATTCAGATATGTATGAACCAATCACGGCAGCATTCGATATAGGGTTTAAAAAGCACTGATAATAGTCATCAGAAAAGTTACGCTCTAGGAGAAAAATCTTAACTTTCTTAATCATATATATATATATATACACACACACACACACACACAGAGAATTATGTAAGATACTGACATACATACATGTAAGACATATATACACACAGGCCAGCTGTTCCTAAATGCCAATCTGGATTCTATGCTGGTGCTCAGTAAAAAGAAAAAAAGAAGGATCCATTTAAGTATTGAGTATAAGGTTGCAAACTGCCCTTTCTTGACAAAGACAGTCCTTTTTTCTGAATATTCCCCTTATAATATAAAAATGCTCTTTTAAAATTAACATAATGCTTATTTAACTTCTTTTGTGGTCAAACAGGAAATTAGTGGCCCTATGTTGATGTACATATTGTCAGAAATTTATTGGGCCGTGAAATGTAATACTCTTGCAAAGTCTAGGTCTTCAAGAAATATTTATAAAGACAGTAATAAACAGAACACATTAAAGAGAAACAAAAATATTAAAACATGAAGTTACTAAGATTTAGAGTGATTAACAGTAAGGAAAGGAAAAAAACCAACTATCGACCAAGTAACTAGAAAGTCAGTGGTGTATCATTACCAGGGGCAGCAAAGTTGACAGGCAGACTATTTTTGGAATAAGAATTAGTTCATTTCAGAAACTCGTTTTAGGCTGCCAATGAGACACACAAATGGAAATATGTTGTAAGAGTCACTGGCATAGTGGTGGTGACATTGGAGGACACGAATGAATGAACTCAATGAGACAAAATAGGAACCCACAGTCTGAGAACTAAAGTATTCCAATGGCTAGGAGACAGGAAGAAAAATACATACGGAAATCAGGGTACGGTATCAACAAGAAAAATAATCAGAATAAGTGGCAGTCCAGGAAAGGTATAATTCCCAGAAAAGAAAAATAAATATTCCCATGGTATCCCAGCTTCAATCCCACATATAGGTATATAAAGAAGCTAAAAAGATATATAAGGAGGAGTCAGGTCTGAATCTGTCCCACAGAATGTTTGTTCTGTTTTCCATAAACTTGTTAATCTGTTATACAACTTTGTTTAGATTTGGTTGTACAACAGTGAAATACCGAAAGAGTCCAACTGCCCTCTGGAAGATATAATTAGAAACTCAAAGGGCATTACAATATGTGAACATGTAAGACTATCTTCCTGAGAACAACAGCCTCACTGCAGCATTTTCTTTTGAGGCAAACAAAGGAAACTCTCTAAATGTATCATATTGTCATAAATTTTAAACAGAACACCATCAAAAAGCTGGTTAAACACATTCTATTATTTTTCTAATTCTCCAGAACATCAAGGAAGCACAGGCTGAAAACTTACAACATCTCTTTTCAGTAAAAATAATCTTACATGTCTGCCCTGAGATTGGTACTATTAAATATTTATAACAATCTTTCCTAAAATTAAGAGCTGCTTTTGTTTGCCAGAAGCGACAGAAAGATTGAGAAGTACTACAATTGTTGGGGCTGGCGCTGTGACGTAGCAGGTAAAGCCACTGCCTGCAGTGCTGGCATCCCATATGGGTACCAGTTTGAGTCCTGGCTGCTCCACTTCTGATCCAGCTCTCTGCTATGGCCTGGGAAGGCAGTAGATGATGGGCCAAGTCCTTGGGCCCCTGCACATGCATGGGAGACCTGAAAGAATCTCCTGGCTTCTGATAGGTGCAGCTCCAGCAGTTAGGGCAATCTGGGGAGTGAACTAGTGGATGATGGAAGATCTCTCTCTCCCTGCCTCTGCCTCTCAACTAAATAAATAAATCCTAAAAAAAAAAAAAAAAAGGCCGGTGCCGTGGCTCACTAGGCTAATCCTCCGCCTTGCGGCGCAGGCACACTGGGTTCTAGTCTCGGTTGGGGCACTGGATTCTGTCCCGGTTGCCCCTCTTCCAGGCCAGCTCTCTGCTGTGGCCAGGGAGTGCAGTGGAGGATGGCCCAAGTGCTTGGGCCCTGCACCCCATGGGAGACCAGGATAAGTACCTGGCTCCTGTCATCGGATCAGCACGGTGCGCTGCCTGCAGCGCGCCGGCCGCGGCGGCCATTTGGAGGAGACTTCTTCTCTCTCTCTCTCTCTGTCCACTCTGCCTGTCAAAAAAAAAAGAAAAAAGAAAAAAAAATCCATGGGGAAATGGAATTAAAATTAGCACTTTTAAAAAAGAGGTAGTAATACAACTGCTTCTATTTCCTTTCAAAATTAAAAAAGCAAAAAAGGGGTATAGAAAATAATGAAAGTTTATAACTGGTAAAAAGATCACTATCTAGTGACTTCTTTGTTTCTAGTGGAATACATGCTTAACAAATCCCCAAAAGTTCACTAACAAAACAAAAAGTCAGAAGGTGAGAGAAAAAAGCCAAGAAACACTTAACATTATATCTCTAAATTTAACATACAGATAAGATGAAACTCAAAATATAGTTTGTTCCTACCTTTAATGCATCATGAAAGACTGGAACACCTGGGTGGTATGTGCAGGCATCTGGTCAAAAATAGAGGAGAAAGGAAAAAGAAAAGCCACTAATTTATAATGAAAATTGCATATATCACCATTTCCTACAGGTATTAAGATGTAATTTTTTTTTTTTTTTAATTTTTTGACAGGCAGTTAGTGAAAGAGAGAGAGAGAGACAGAGAGTTAGAGACAGTGAGAGAGAGACAGAGAGAAAGGTCTTCCTTCTGTTGGTTCAATCCCCTAATGTCTGCCATGGCCGGCGCTGCGCAGATCCGAAGCCAGGAGCCGGGCGCTTCCTCCCAGTCTCCCATGCGGGTGCAGGGACCATCCTCTACTGCTCTCCTGGGCCACAGCAGAGCTGGACTGCAAGAGGAGCAACCGGGACTAGTACCCGGCGCCCCAACCAAGACTAGAACTCCCGTGGTGCCGCAGGCAGAGGATTAGCCAAGTAAGCCATGGGGCAGGCCAAGATGTAATTGTTTTTCTAAATGCAGTTAATATTATCCCTTACAATTTTTCTAATGCTTGAGTATGATGCATAGCACAAAGTGCATCAAATATTTAAATAAGTTACAAGGTTTTTTTTTTAAAAGAATTTTTTTTAAGTTTATTTATTTATTTGACAGAGTTACAAACAGACAGACAGAGAGAAAGGTCTTCCTTCCATTGGTTCACCCCCAAATTGCCGCTACGCTGATCCAAAGCCAGGAGCCAGGTGCTTCCTCCTGGTCTCCCATGCGGGTGCAGGGCCCAAACATGTGGGCCGTCCTCCACTGCCTTCCTGGGCCACAGCAGAAAGCTGGACTGGAAGAGGAACAACTGGGACTAGAACCTAGTGCCCAAATGGGATGCCGGCGCCGCAGGCGGAGGATTAACCAAGTGAGCCACGGTGCCAGCCCAAGTTACAAGTTCTAATTCAAGAGTGTGATACATAGATAAAATAATACACAATAGTATAAGATACACAGATAAATAAACTCTCTATCCTTTGCATCTTTGTAGCAAAATCTGGTACCAAAACTTCAAGCTCCAAGCTTTTGACCATCAGCTTACAAATCTACATTTACAAAAATAGTATCAAGCTTAGGTGTTCTTATGTGCACTGATCTAGAAAGATTTATGAAGATTCCCTAAAAAGGTATTTTTGAAGAGCCCCCAAATTTAAAAACTGTTTTAATGTCTAATTGCTAATTTAACTTTTTTAGACAGATGTCAATTTCTAGGTAAAAACCTCATTGAAAGAAGTTTAAGCTATATAGTCTGTTTCCAGGTTGTCACTGAAGTTATTCAGTACTTCCTTCCTCCCTTCTCTACTATACCTTTAATTTTTAACTTATAAGAAAAGAGGTTTATTAAAATTTGCAACATGGCATGTTTTCTTTAAAAAATTTTAGATAACACAGTTATTCCCTTCTTAGATGGTTTCACTAGCTTAAACAGCTCATCTCCCTGTTTGGAATTTTCACAAGGGTACCGCACTGAACCTTTCTAATTTGTTTTAGTTTTCAACTGTGGACAACTTCTGATTCCTGGTGTTGCCTTAAAGTGATTAATTCCTAGTGTCTAGAGGAATTTTTCTTAATAGCTGCTATGCTTCCTAAGTAACCATGTGTTACACAAACCATGTTTAGTCAATACACCAAAGTGTTAGATGTTTTCCTGGTACAGTAAGTAAATCCATAGATTTGGAAGAGCCTATTAACAGAAGGAGTGGGATTAAGTGCTGAAAAGAAGTTGGAAATAGAAATATGTAAAAGCATAAAGTGGAGAAAGGAATAGAAATACAGTATATTTTCAAACTGCAAAAATAATATGCAGTCAGAAGTATAAAATGTACAATGTATAACAGAGAGGCATAAAATACTCATAATAGTGGTCAACTGTGGCATAACAGAAGCACAAATGAGTCAGTTTTTAACCATACAACTAGCATAAGGAAAATCTGAAAAATCACTGCATTCAAGAGCCCATAGCAAGCAGATGGATATTTTCTTTACCAGCCTTTATCAGGCTTGCCAGTTTTGCTCAAATTAATAGTCAATGGCTAGATATCCTCAACCTCATCTGTTCGTTATTTTGGTCAACACACAAGGTCAAACTTCTTTCATTTTATAAACTTTCCCCTAACCCAGTCCACAGTTTTTATTATCATTTTCACTGTATCTCAATTTTCTTCATTCATTCAACCAATTTGCTGGAAGTATTTATCCTAAGTCTCTAAAATAACCCCCATTTTTGTTAAGAGAATAAACGTTCTACAATCTTAGTTGTGTTCTCTGCTGAACCTGGTACTGCTCACCACCAACTCCTGGAGAATGTTACTCCCTTAGTTCTCCTAGATGCACCTTATACTCTATCTGTATCATTTAATGCATGGGCACACGGCTTCCAACAAAGGGCTGCATCTCTCTTGAACTTCACACAGGTACATGGATCCATGAACATATGTCACATGACAAAGCATCAATCTTTCCCCTGTATTTGATGTTAAAAGAAAGTATGTACAGATATCAATTCAACTTATTATCTGCATAGGCTACCAACATCAAAGAGACTTTAAAATTCCTCACTTGTTGAGTTTAGCATCCCCTGAAACTTACAATTTCAGTTAGTAACCTTCAGTAACAATAAGAGTTGTGTCAATGACAGTAAGCGTGTATACAATGCATTTATGTTTTCCTTAAAATCCTGTATCAGTGGTTTATCGTTTTAGCTGAGGTCACCCGTTTATCTGCTCATAAAGACAAACATTTCAACTATCTCAGAGGTGAAAACGATTTAAAAAGTAATTCATCGGTTTTTAATCTGCATGATACCGAACCATGTTACTATCACGTAGAAATGTGACCTAATACTGCCAGCTTCCGAGGGTTGTTGTGAAGATTAAATGCGACAACAAACTGACAGACTTATTTCTGGCCTATAAAGAATATGCAATAAATGCTAGTTAAACTTCAGGAAGTGGTCTGAGGAAATTAATTCATTTCTTCAACTTTTATCAATCAACATTCAGATTCACTGGTCGTTTCCTAATGTTCACCTAGTGCAGTCACTAACTTTCACTTAGCGTCCAAAACTACACTTAGGTGCCCTAGAGAACACTAGCTCAAGTCACTGGGAAGATGGCACGGTATTAAGATGCGGAGGCCACCGCAAGGCTATGAAACAAATGCCGCTACAAAGTCAAAGACAAATAGGGCAGAGGCATCAAAATTTAGGTTAAAGACACAAAGTAACTCCCTTCCCTAACCAACAACCCCTTCTCAGAAAGCAAGCAGCTTTACTACAGCAGGTCCAGAGCTTTCGGACAAACTTACGTATTAATCACGAAGCAGAGCTTAAAGGTTAGGTTAACCGGGGGCCCCTTCCTTCCTTCCCCACCGCGCCATGCACGCGAAATCACAGCCAGGTATCACCTGGGTAACTGCAAAGCAAGCTTGGGGGGGGGGGTGTACCTCGTTAACTACATCCCCAGAGAGACTTGGGGGGCTGGGGCCAAGGGACTGTTCCAAGTGCCTTAAGAATGAAAGAGAATGAGGGGGGCCAGCAAGGAACCACGTGGGTCCAGGGCACGCAAAGAGGTGGTTCAGCCCAGGGAGGCCCCGGCGGGGAGGGGGTGGCGATGAGCCGGGGCGGCAGTACGGGCTCGCGGAAGGACCCCGGGCGCCCCTGGGCCCACAGGGCTCCGCCGGGAGGAGGAAGTGGCTGGTAAAGAGGGCGACTGGCGGCTGTTTCTCTTACCATCGGAGTTATTCTCAGGATCGAAGCGCTGGCCGCAGCCCCGGTTGTAGCACAGCAGAGCCATTTTCTTTGCTCGGCGCTCCAGGTGAAGCCCAAACGCCAGGAACCGCAAGAGGGTGCGTTTCCAAGTCTCCGGTCACCAGTACCGGCTACACTGCTAGGGCGGCAGCCGGCTTCCGGAAACGGCCGGTTCCGCTTCAGGAACCTTCGCGAATTTTCCGGTCGCGCAGGCGCAGAGAAGATGGGAGGAGGTGGAGGAAGCGGCTGGGAGGGACCGCCTTAGTCGGGCTCCGGCGGCGGGCCGCGGCTTAGGAGCTGCAGCCCGGACGTTTGTAAGTGAGACACTTACAGAACAGAAAGTGAAGGTACGGACCGACCGCCGTGCCCCCTCCATTCTGAGCAAGTGCCCCCGGCCGTGTGTTTCTCGCGTAGCCAAGTGGCCGCTGTGCCCCTTGTTCCGCGCGGCCCCGCGTCCTTCTTGCTGCTTTGGAAACACCGGTTCCACGCATTGTCAGTCTCTTAAGCCGCTAGCGACCCCAGAGAAAGTGCAGAAACGGGGCGTTATTTGTACGTCCTCTTCTTGGAACACAGTGGTTTTAGCACCTGAGCAGAGGAGAGTGGCCGAATCTTCCCCTTGTGTGTGTTGTTGCGGGGGGGGGGTCGGGGGGGGGGGGGGGGCTGTGTTTCCAGTGTCCCGATGACAGGGGCAAGGGTGAAGTGGACACTTAGGGAGCATTTTTTAATAACCGAACAGTTGTGGTCGAATCACATTAAACGCGTAAAACACTACTATGAAAATTTAAGGTGCTTGAAAACCGGACAAAGAAAATTTTAGATTAACTGTGGTTCTAGAAAGGACAGTTTCTCTAAAACCCGGGTCTAGGAGTTATTTCTTATTAACTTATGAACCAAGTTGTTCATACTCAGTTCTCTAATCCTGGGCCGTCTGGTAAAATTTCTTTCAGTGAGGCAACACTAGGGCCAGCTTGTGTACTCTTGTTTTCCAAATGGGAGGACTAGAGACTAGATCTAGCGTTTGCTGGTGACTCCCTCAAAAGGCTGCACCCTCTGGGGCCGGGCCAAGTGGAAGCCGCACAAAGCGTGGAACTCTATCCGCATTTCCCACTTGGGTGGCAGGGGCTCAAGTCCAGCAGGGAGCTGGATGAAAGTGGAAGAGCTGGAACTTGAACTGGCACTCTCATCGGGTGCCTGCATCACAAGCAGGAGCGCCAGAGCACTTCCTTGTCATGCAGTTTCCTGCTAATGCACCTGAATGGTGGCAGATGATGGATCTGAATCAGTGCCACCAACGTGTTAGACCCAGGTGGAGTCCTTAGCTACTGGCTTCGTCCTGGCCTAATCCAGGCTGTTGTGGGCATTTTGAGACTGAACCAGTAGATGGAAGATGTCTCTTGTGCTCACTCTGGCTCACCGTGTTCTGTCTTTCAAATAAACACAATGAATAAACATTTTTTAAAAAATCAACAGGAATTCCAGAAAAGAAAAAAATGGAGTCACAATATATTTGCAAATTTTTGGTTCTTTTCTGGATATTTTAATAAGCAACAAAAATAAGTCATTGTTGTAATAAAAAAAAAAAAGGAAAGGATCAGTGCATTCCATTTCCAACTTCACTTTTCTCTCCATTCCCACACTGTGATGCTAACTACCACCAAATATTTGAGAAACTTTCTAGTAGTTGTATAAGTAATGTATATAAACTTTACAGCTTCCTTCCTGCCCTGGCTCTATACATATCAAAAGGTGTTTTGATTATTTGTGATTAACCAGAGTTAGAATGCATTAAATAAGGCAATTATCAATCCTTGGTGGAAAGTGGGTATTTATTGTAATACTTTCATTACTTTAAGCATTTAAAAATATTTCTTAAAGTACAGGGGGTGAGCATTAGGTTTAGCATTTAAGATGCTGCCAAGGATGCCAGCATATCATATCTAAGTGCCTGGATTGAGTCCTGCCTCCGGATACTGATTCCAGCTTCCTGCTTATATGCACTCTAGATATCAGCAGGTGATGACTAAGGTAGTTGGTCCGTGCTGCCCTTGTGGGATACCTGGATTAAGTTCCCACCTGCAAGATTCAGGTTGGTCCCTCCCTGGCTCTTGTGGGCATTTGGTGAGGGAACTAGCAGATGGGACATCTCTGTGTGTCTGTCTCTTTCTGACTAGAAATAACATAATAAGAAGCCATTTAAAAAAATAATTTTGATAAGGCACAAAATTGTGTTTATAGAGGTGAATTCAGTCTTATTTAAATTTTGTAGTATTTTATAAACAAAGTTTCCATCACAGGGATGTTCACTCTAGAGTGATTCTTTATGCTGTTTTTCCGTTTCTAAGTAGATGTACTGGATAACATACAATAGTGTGTGTGTGGTTTTGTGTTCATTGTTTTTATTCACTAGAACATTTGTCACCCCCTTAAAGGAGGGACTAGAACAGCACTGTTCACTAGCAGTATAATGGCCAGAAATACGAGGACATAGATAACTTAAAATTTTCTAATAATCACTTCTCAAAAAGTAAAAATTGATACTATTAACTATTAATATACTTTATTCCATTATATCTAAATTGTTATAATTTCAGCATATTGTCAGTCTAAAAATTTGAGATATTTAGATTTTTATTTTTTAAGCAATATGTCCAAAATATGGCATGTATTTTACACTTACAGCATTTCTTAGTTTAGCCTAGCTACATTTCAGTTGCTTAACAGTCACAACTTGTTAGTACCTACCTTAATGGGCAGAAGTAGTCTACCAACTAGTATTGGTTCAGTTAAGTATTTTTTGTAATTTAGTGAATGAATTTTAATAAGCCTTCATAGGGAATATTGTTCAATTCTACTGGATTAAGGTTGATGGAAGTGGAAAGAGATGTATATTATGGGAAAATGGAAAAAGTTCAATTAAGCTTCAGTATCTTGAACAGCAATAATTACGAATGTGGTATGCTGATCTATCTATATAGCTATGTAGAATAATGTTTGAAAAGATAATGAACTAATCCTTAATAACAGTGGTTGGAGACAAGGAAAGACTTCAAGGAGTAAAGTTAAGATTTTTTGGGGGGCTGGCGCTGTGGCATAGCTGGTAAAGCCGCTGCCTGCAGTGCCAGCATCCCATATGGGCACCGGTTAGAGTGCTGGCTGCTCCATTTTCAATCCAGCTCTTTGCCATGGCCTGGGAAAGCAGTAGAAGATGGCCCAAGTTCTTGGGGCCCTGCACCCACATGGGAAGATCCAGAAGAAGCTCGTTACTCCTGGCTTCAGACTGGCGCAACTCTGGCCGTTGCAGTGAATAGAGGAGTGAACCAATGGATGGACGACCTCTCTCTGCCTCTACTTCTCTCTCTGTGTAACTCTTTCAAATTAATTAATTAATTAAATTTAAGATTTTTCTTCTTGCTGTATACACTTAGATGTTTCTGAAAAATATAGTAAGTATTCACATTGTATGTGTTATAAAAAGGAACAAAAAGCAACCTTTATTTGATCTGTGTAAAGAGAGATGTGATAAATTCAGCTATTACAATTGTGTTTTAAGCCATGTTGATTTACAGAAACTTTCTTTGTATCTTTTAGTGTCTTTTGTCTTGAAATATATTTGATGTTAGTGCTTTAAGTTTTGTTAAGTTTTTCTTTGGTTTGCCTAATAAAACTAACCCCATCTGTTTATGTTTAACTTGTGTCAGTTTTTGGGGGCATTTACATGGCAATCAGAAAATAGATTGCTTCTTTCCTTTTTTTTTTCTTTTCTTTTCTTTTCTCTTCTTTTCTTTTCTTTTCAACTCATAGCTAAGACTTTTATTTTGCAGAGAAACCTAATCTTTTTCTGATTAGTGATTATTCAGGCCCCTAAAGTGTTCCAGAATTTACTAATGACTTTGTAAGTTACTTAACACCTGATAATCTCATTTCTCATCTATAAAACATTGATAAGATGTCTTGAGGATTAAATAACGCATGCAGTCCCTTTAGTGTAGTGTAAACACTGATTAATAAGTCCATAAATGTTTAATAATAAAAATAATCATGAGTCTAATCTTGGAATGAGTACTGTGACTCAGCAGTTAAAGACAGCACTTGCGACGCCCAGATCCCATATCAGAGTGCCTGGAATCAAGTCCTACCTCTACTTCCAGTATTGCTTCCTGCTAATGCTTGGATTCTTGTCAGCCCCTGGGAAACTCAGTTGGATTTCCTACTTCTTGGCTTTGGCCTGACTCAGTCTAGACTGTTGAGGCTATTTGAGGAATAAACCAGTATACGAGTATGGAAGCTATCTTTTTCTTCTCTCTCCTTTGTCACACTGCCTTCCAAATCTTATTTGTTTATGTTAGTCCTATTTTGTTATGTCACTTGTATTGTGCTTTTCTGTCTACAGTTAAGTCTACTTTCTTATTTTCATTTTGTTTGCTAAATATGTTTTTTTTATTTTCACTATGATTTCCAAAATGTGTATCTTAGTTTTAATTTGTTTCAGTCAGTATTAAATAGTTACTATGTGTTGGTACTACACTAGGTACAGGGAACCAAAGTAATAGTTCACCTGTCTGTTCTCATTGTGTTTGAATTTCACAAGAAAGATAGACATGAATCAAATACCTGCAAATATAAATTTATTCTCAAATATATTGCTGTAAGTACACATGGAAAATACGTTATGCTGTTAGTGGGAATGGAAATTTACCTGATCTGGGGTGGGGCACAGGCATAGATAATAGTCTACACCAAAGTCGTGAGATGGAAGATGTTGTAACATTGGAAGAACTAAAAAGTTATTGAAATATACTAGGGCTCATAAACAAAGAGCCAGATGAAGCCGGAGAGGTAACCAGATATTTACATCATATAGACAGCCTGAAAGTCCTTTACCCTGCGGTCAATTTAGGACTAACAAAGGATTTTGCTATGGATATAATTTTAATTCTACTAGTTATTACCTGTAACATTTTGAAAAGTATTCAGTGTATTTCTTTGTTATTAAACCTTCTTGGAGGCAGTAAATTACAGGAAGGAAATGACAGCATAAATCTGCCCCAATTACAAGAGAGAATTCTAAGATATAAAAGCCACAAAAAGGACACAGGAATTCCAGAATGGTAAAGTAAGGACCTCCAAAAACAGTGAATTCATTCATAAAAACAATGACAGTGGTGAAACCTGTCAGTTTTCCAGAATTATAGAAATTAATGAAAGGATTACAGTTACTCAAAACTGAGGTTTCCTGGGCTATTTTGATAGTAAAGAGTTTCAAGTGATCTTGGCAGTATTTCTTCTTTCCCTCTGAATGGAAACTTTGGCAGAAGGAGTTGGCCACCGTGCTGTTCTTACTGTAAAA